CTGAGGTGGCACCGCGGATGGCCCCTTGGAGCTCGCGCTTGTCCAGACCCAGAGCACGAATCCCCACGTCGTTCCACGAGATCTCTAGAGGCTCATCACCTGGGCGAAGAATGAGGCGGAGGACGTCGGTGTAGTCTGACTTAAGGACCCCGCGCTCGCGGTCGACAAACCACCGCCTCTGGGGGTCAGCCTCCATGAGCGAGGAGCGGACCTTCCGAAGCAGCATCTCACCACGAACTTGCTTCGGAGACTTATCGGGTCCAAAGTGAAGCCGCGCAGAATCAGCACCTTGGACAGGGTAATGGAATTCGCGCCAGGTCCCATCCACCTTGAGGTTGCCCAGCGCTTTTTGCACCCGGCGTGAGGCGAGACCGGTCGGGTCCGAGAAGGAGATCGCAAACTTTTTAGACGGCAACGGAGTGAGCGCTTTGATCGCATATGTGTCGCCCTCAGAGAAGTTGAGCTCACCCATGAAGTTGTTGACCACGTCCCGCACACCAGCGATGCCCACGAGTTTGTTGGAGACAACAATGACATGCGCCGGGTCGATCTCGCGAGCAAAGCCTGGGGGTGCAGGAGGGCGAGACGGCAACTGCCTGTCCGTCTCAGTCTGCTGGCGAAGCGCCTGGAGCTGCTGTTGGAGGTCCGCCAGCTGCGCAGCGTGCGACTCGATGTCCCGCTCGGTGTGGTCGACGCGGCGGCTGAGGGCATCCTGCTGCTCCTGAAACTGGCGCTGGAGCTCGTCGAGCTGCGGGCGGACGGTGACCATGACCTGCTGGTCAATGTTCGTGTGCTGCGTCGAGAGCTGCCGCTGGAGGGTAGCAAGGGTGGCCAGGATCGGGGCATTCGAGTGCTGCACGGAGTTCGTAATGGCCGTGGAGACGATGTTATCGAATTCACCTCGTAGCTGAGTGAAACGGGCAGCGATGTCGGCGTGATCGAAAGCACGAGTGAAAGCGGCTTGGCCCTCCTCCTCAGCCCAGGCAGCAGCACCATCAGCAGCAGCATAGCCACGAGGCGGCCCCCCCACCGCCGCCGCAGCAGCCCACGGGTCGAAGTGCGCGGGCGGGGCGCTGCGGGCGGCCGCAGGGTACACGTGGGGCTCCTCCTGCGAGGGGAACGTGGGAGCCATCTCGAGCTCCGCAGCCAAGCGAGCACGCTGCTCAGGATCCCATTCATTGGGTGGCCCAACGAGGTCGGCACTGCGCTGTGCCGCGCCTGTGGCGGAGCCAAAAACGGCAGGATCTGGACCACGATGCGAGGCAGCGGCACCTGCTGGCGGTGGTACGTCCCCGCCAGCGCCACGAGTGCGGCCAGCACGACGAAGACGGCGAGGAAGCTCAGCAGCAGCACCAGCGGAGCCGTTGGCAAAAGAGCGGGCGCGAGTAGCCCGACGAGCACCACGGCTGCCACCGCTGCGGGACGCGGAGCGGCGCTGTTCATCCGAGGAGCTGCCGCCTCCGACCGATGCCACATCCGTGTCAGCTTCACTAGCGGTGTCCATGCGATGAACATGAGGACGAGGGCGATCGCAGACAGCAGGCCCCATGAGCGAGACAGAGACGTTCGCACGCACAGGAACGGGAAAGACCTCCGTTTACCCGTGGGCGCGAGCGTAGGTGCGGTGTACAATCTCTGCCAGATCACCAAGGGTCTTGCCTGCCGCGGACTAGCGGTATCCACTTGTTCCCCTGAGGAACTGTGCATCTTGAGCCAAAACGGCTACGGAAGAGGAAGCGGAGGAGGAGGAGGAGGAGAAACGAGGAGGAGAAACGAGGAGAGGGGAAAGGGAGGATGAGGAGGGACGAGGAGGAGGGAGTAGAAGGGAAGAGGAGTGAGGAGCAGGAAGAGGAGGAGGAGGAGGAAGAGCAAGAGAAACAACGAACCATGAGGAGGAGGAGGAGGAGGGACTAACGTAAATCTAAGACGCATCAATCACGTTGCAATCAACATTCCCCCAAATGTCTCTAATCATAGGTCCCTGCACGAATGTATTTTCACTGCTGGAAGCCCCCCGTTGGAAGGCAACCGTCTGAGAATCCCCAACCGTGCCGAAACACCACTCCTTGGACTTCAGCGCCGCGAATCAACTTTAGCGTTGCTTCCTGACGATCCTGCATCGTGCCAAAAAACCAATCCTAAGACTCCAACACCGCGAATCAACGTGCGGAACACCATTCCTGGGACGCCAGTCATTCATTGCAATCCGTGAAACAATTGAATGCGAAAATGCGCGACTCTAGGAAAGCATTTTTCGTCACGGCGATAACGGGCGTTATGGGAGAAGAGGGGGGGGAGGCGAAAAGGGGGGCATAACGTAACGCCGTTCCCCCCGCCGTGTGGGTCCGGCACCACAGACTGTGGTGCCGAACGCACTGGGGCAGTGCCAGCGACACAACGCGTTACGCTATGGGTGGGGGAGAAGGAGGAAGAGAAGGAGGATGAGGAGGATGAGGAGCCAGGAGGAGGACGAGGACCAGCGTAAACCCAAGACTCCTCAACGATGTTGAAATGAACCCTCCCCCAAGCTCCCTAATCATAGGCCCCTACAATAATTCGTTTCCACTGAAGAAATGCCCCGTTGGCAGGCCGTTTGAAGAATGGAAAGCGTGCGAAAGTATCACATTCGTGATTTCAGCACCACGAATGAACGAGGACGAGGAGGAAGAAGGATAATACTACTAATAGTGTTGTTAATAGTAAGAATAAGACTAATCATAACAATGGTACGAACACTACGAATAACAATGATATGACTAATAATGATGATAACCATACTACAATTGATAGTCAAAGCTCACCGTACAGCCCCGAAACAACTGCGAGGTCTGGGCGGGAGGAGGACCTTGAATGATGGGCAAATTATCCACCACCGCTACCATATGTAGGACGGGGGAGAAGGGCAAATGAGGTCCTGCCACCCGTCCTCCTCCTCCTCCGCCTCCTCCTCATCCTACTCCTCCTCCTCCTCCTCCTCCTCCTGCTCCTCCCCCTCCCACTCCTCCTCCTCTTCCTCCTCCTCCTCCTCCTCCTCTTCCTCCTCCTCCTCCCTATGGTAGTGGCGGTGGAAAATGGGTCCATCATTCAACGCTCTCGCCCCGTCCCGCTGCCGCGCAGAGGTGGCACGAGTCTGCCGCGGTCGCTCCAGGGGCTCTGGAGCGAAGGGCCTGGGCCCTCGGCGGGGCAGGACGGCTGCCCCTCCATCGGAAGTGGCCAGACCTTAGTGGGCCCTGGAAACGACAGGGCCGCGTTTCTACCGGTTCCGTATTGCCGCTTTCTTGTCTGTTCCGACGCCGTGTTTGTTCGACGGTTCCGTCGCCGTTTTTGTTGCTCGTTCCGGCTCCGGCTCCAATCCTGGAGTAGTTTTTGCTGCTATTTCCGATCGCCGTTTCTGGGGACACTTTTTGGACGCTTTCTCGGACGCTTTCTGGAGACTATTTTTTTTCCAATTGTCCATAGTAATCACACTTTCTCGGAAACTGTGAAAAAACGGCCCTGCCGTTCCCAGGGCCCACGGAGGGCAGGATGGCTGCCCCTCCTGTGGCCAGGCGTGCCGCTGGCCCGAGGTCAAGACAAAGCCAGGACGAGGATACATTGGGGTGAGGATAATTCGAAAAAGCTAGGAGATCCAGTGGCTCTGGTGGACGGTTTCCCCCAGGGCCGTAGGCGACCCGAGGAGGGGAGGGCGAGGAGGGGGAGGAGGAGGAGGAGGAGGAGGAGGAGGAGGAGGAGGAGGAGGAGGAGGAGGAGGAGGAGGAGGAGGAGAAGGAGGAGGAGGAGGAGGAGAGAGGAGGAGGGGAGGGAGGGGGAGGAGGAGTTGGAGGAGGAGGAGGAGGAGGAGGAGGAGGGGAGGAGAGAAGGAGGAGGAGGAGGAGGAGAAGGTGGAGGAGGGGGAGGGGAGGAGGAGATGAAGGAGGAGAGGAGAGGAGGAGGAGGAGGAGGAGGAGGAGGAGGAGAAGAGAGGAGTAGGAGGAAGAGGAGGGGGAGGACGGGTCGGAAGCCCTTCGGAGAAACCCTCCAGGCTCTGGAAAGAGGAGGTGGAGGAGGAGGAGGAGGAGGAGGAGGAGGAGGAGGAGGAGGAGGAGGAGGAGGCGGAGGAGGAGGAGGAGGAGGAGGAGGGGGAGGAGGAGGAGGAAGAGGAGGAGGAGGAGGAGGAGGAGGAGGAGAGGAGGAGAGAAGGATGAGGAGGTGGAGGAGGGGGAGGGGGAGAAGGAGATGGAGGAGGAGGAGGAGGAAGAGGAGGAGGAGGAGGAGGAGGAGGAGAAGGAGGAGAAGGGAGGAGTAGGAGGAGGAGGCGGAGGGGGAGGACGGGTCGGAAGCCCTTCGGAGAAACCCTCCAGGCTCTGGAAGATGTCTCGGGCGCCGCGGCCTTCTCCTCTGAGCGTCCTGGAACGTTCTGTGAGAGCGTTCCGACTCGCTACCGGATGGACTTATCCTCGTCCTAGCCCCGATCGCAAGGTGTCCCCCTGGATTCTCCTCGAATCCTCGCTCGTGGCCGTCGACGACGTCGACGGCGAAGGCGACGACGGCATCAACGCCGACGTTCGGCGACGGCAAAGACGTCCTGCGACGAAGACGGCGACGACGTCGACGACTCCAGGCGGCGGCGGCGTCCGCCGTCAGGCGGCGGCGTCCGCCGGCGGGATGCGCCTGGCAGCAGGGGTGGCCTCGTGAGGGATGCGCTGGAGGCCCCAACGGCCTCCTTAGATTACCCCTCACGAGGCCCAGAGTGCCCCCCGGGCTCCAGAACTGAGCGAGAAGCTGACTGAGCGAAAAGCTGGGGGACACCTCTGGCCAGGGGCGCCGCAGTTGGGGAAACCATAAGGAACCGATACCGCTGCTCCCCAGGCCTCTCCTGGGCTGCGTTCTGACCAGAATTTCGAGGCGAATCCAGCGGTGGCGACGGGGGCCTCCCAGGAGGCCCAGCAAAGGGGAAAGCGGTCAGAGGACAGCGGTCTGGGCGCCTTCTCCGCCTCTCATGGCTAGCAGCCCCGGGCTCCTCAGGCCCGCTGCGCGGCCGCGCCCCGGATGTTCATGGGCGAGACGAGGACGTTGAGGGGCTTGGGGCCTGCGCGAGCTGCGCTCCCTCGCCCGCTCCATGCGACCACGAGGCCCCGGCCAGGGCAGGGTCGGACCGGGGCAGGGACGCATCTTTTTTTGCAGTGGGGGTTCAGGCCCTGGCTGGGGCTTGCTGGCAACTTGAATTCAAGAGGCCGCCGCACGCGCTCGACGGCCAGGGAGGACCCAAGGGAAGCCACAAACAAGAAGCCTCGGCCGCCACTCAGCCCCGAGGGCTGGGGGTCCACCTCCTGTCGCTTGGCGGCCCTCGCCGCCCTCTCGTCCACCGCACTGCGGCCGCGGTCGCGTGCCTCCTCGGTCGAGGAGAAAAGGTGCGAGGCCAGCACTCCCTCGAGCGCTGGCATGTGGACAAGGAGCCCTTAGATCAGGAATCCAAGCTCTGGAAGCTGGTGAAACTCCGATCGTGGATCGGCCATGGATACCACTGCCGCCATCACCATACAAGGAACCCTCCAGGGTCTGCAGCCTCCTGGGCACAATCCTCAACGAACGCCCCCCGCCGTATTCTGGATTTCGGCATTTGGCCGAAGGGTGGGGGAGGAGGGGGCGTCTGGGTCTGGGCCGGTGCTCAGTCGATCTGCTTTTGCCAGTCGCGCGAGCAGCTGGGGGGGAAGGGGTCCAGACCAGTCGCCAGAAGCAGCCGCCAGAAGCAGCTACGATCTGGTCTACGGGGGGGTGGAGGGGGGGTTCTGCGAAATAAACCGGACGCCGCGGCCTTCTCAGAGCGCCCCGGCACGCTCTGAGAGCGTTCTGGAACGCTCTGGAGCGGTTGATCCCGCCCCGAGGACTGCCCGATGCTGCTCCTCGCTGTGGCTGTGTCAACTCGGCGGTGGACAAACCTCCCTTTAGTAAACCTCCCCTAAGTGAAAACGGCCTAAGACCGAAACCGACGGACCTAGACCCGCAAAAATAACGGCCGTGACGCTCTCTCGCGAACCGAAAACGGCCAATTCACGAATCGACGTGTCAGGGTAGGAGGTCTATCAACCTCCGATCAACCGCGCCGATCCGAGTCTGCGAGCCAGGGCCAGGCTGGATCGTGAGCGGCGCTGCCCGTGCTGTCGTTGGTGCACCCGAGAGAGAGAGAGAGAGAGAACAACAAAAAAAAACGATCGGCAGTACTGTGCAATACCGTCATTCCTCACCTGGCTCACTGGCACGCAGACGCTTGTCAACCCCCGCAGAGCAGCTCAGTGGAGCTCAGATGCGCGCCCATGAAACAGAATAACATGCAACCCCGTACAGTAAGAGGCTCGTACACGAGAAATCCTCCAGAAAAAACATAACCCTGAGACCCCAGGACGTACATTGAGTTCTGGCGTGAGAATGTCGCGTTTTCCCTGGCAAAACCCCCGAAAGCCAAGAAACCGAGGGCACCCTGGAGGCACGCAGGGTGTTTCCTGGCATGGGTCTTGACTGTACGTCATCTCGCCCTGGTGGGACTGACAACGCGTAATCTCGAGGTACCCGTAGATGCGTCTCGGCGGTAAGCAACAATGCCCTGAGCTCTGAGAGCGAGGCCCTGCGGGTGGCATGGCGAACTCTTGGGGCTGAGGCCGCTCGGAAGGAAGAGAAGGAGGAAGGGGCGGAGCAGAGATGGACGAGGGCAGAGGGGGAGAAGGGAGCAGGGAAGCGACTTTTGTGTTACTTCATCTCTCTCTCTCTCGCCCTTTCTCTCTCAAGTTATCTCTTGTTTGTCTCCTATCTATATCTCTCTCTCTCTGCTTGACCCTCCCTCACTCCTTCCCTCCATCACCCCCCCATCTCTCACTGATAAGGAGGAGGAGCATGAGGAGGGGGAGGCTGACAATGAGGAGGAGGCGGACGGAGGAGAAGCAGGGAGGAGGGAAGGAGGGAGGGAGGAGAAGGAGAAGGAGAAGGAGAAAGAGAAGGATGGAGGAGGAGGAGGAGGAGGAAGAGGAGGATGGAGGAGGAGGACGAGGGAAGGAGGAGGAGGAGGAGGAGGAGCGCACGTACCCAGGGGAGGGACGGTGCAGACTAGCGACGGAGCGTCGCAAAGCGGCACTCAGATGATACCGTCGAAGATACCGCCGAAGATGAATATGAAGGCGACCCCGTCGAGGCCGCAGGAGACGCCACCGAGGGCGACATTGGTGTGGAAGACTTTGAGGACGCCGCAGAATGCGGCGAGGAAGAACCACCACAGGAGGGCCGGAGCTCCAGCGAGCCAACCAACTGGTCGTCCAGGATGTTGTTGAACTGGTTGATGCCCTCCTCGTCCTGACAGCTTGCGAGTAGGGTGTCGTAGTCCAGGGCCGCCGTCGATGGAGAGGAGGCGCACGACGTGGTAGGAGCCGTGCACGCCGATGAAGAGGCCTCCTCCCTTGTTTGCACGCAGTTCTTGGTTTGGTGCATGATCTGTGCGAGGTCCTCCCGCCACTCTGCATCTCGGATGTCCAGGTCCGCGAAGGTGACGAAAGCGGACTCCTTGATCAAGCCCGTCTCGTCGACGAGTTTGGTGAACTTGTTCATATTGTGCTTCTGTTCTTCGAACATCTGCAAGAGGACGTCATGCTTGTCACCCTGGTCCAGCTCACGCCCAGGCAGTCTGTTACGGACAACACCATCGTCTTGTGGGCGCTGTACCTGAGCGGCCTCCATAGCCTCCACGCGCTGTGTCAGCACGGCCAGCTCCTTGAGGTACTCCGTGCTATTCTTCTGCGAACACATGACGACCATATCGGTGATCTGTATGGATATGTCTTCCATGGTCTTCGTGAGCGTGCCGAGCAAGTCCGTGGTGAGCTGGTCTAGCGATTCGCATTTCACGTAGTTCTTCATGTGCTTTCCACTGGCCTCGTCAAAGTTGGCGCCCTGGTACTTCCCCTGCTCCTTGACGTAGGCGAGCTGCGACTGTTGTGCCGATGTGTCGTCCAGCTCCGAGTCAGTGCTGCAGTTCTGCGGCTTGTCCTTGTCATGCTTCACTGGCTAGCCCGAGGCGTGCTGCAGCTGCATGCCCCGTTGTCGCCGATCGGGTGGGTACGGGATGAAGCCCATCTCGTACGCACGTCGCCGACGCTTATGCACTTTGCTCGCAGAGCGGGCGCCTCTCCGACGAGGAGCAGTCGGGGCCGTAGAAGAGGCCGACGGCGAAGCAGAAAACGCCGCAGAAGCAGCGAGGAGCGAGCCGCCAGCACCGTGCATTGTGTAGTTCAGCACCGCGAATGCGATGAACGTGGCCACGGCGCCCGGAAGCCTCATGGCGCCATGGAGCTCCGCGCGCGCGGAGATGACCGCCCCGTCGCGACAAGGAGGAACGCTCGCGGGCGCGCGGTGCGGCTGCGAGCTGCTCAGCTCAAGAAGCTTGAGCCAAAATGGCAACGGAAGGAGGAGGAGGAGGAGGAGGAGGAGGAGGAGGAGGAGGAGGAGAGAAGGAGGAGGAGGAGGAGGAGGAGGAGGAGGAGGAGGAGGGACGCATGACCCCGCCCACACCCTTCCCCGCCGGCCCTCGCGCCTGCGTCCACGTACGCGTGGGGCGCCTCGGCTGTCGCGGCCCCAGGGGGCGGGGGGACGGCACAAGGAGGGAGGGGAGGGGGGAGCGGACGCTCTGGGCGGAGCCCGCCTCCACCCACTCCTCCATCGCCCGCACCCGGCAGCGGTGACGGAAGCGGCGGAGTGCAAATGCTAAATGAACTGCAACGCGTGGTAAGGCACGAAGAGCGCTACAGGAAGAGCCGTGAGCCATGTAAAGACCGAAAGAACAGCGAGCCCCCTCCAGATCTGAGCTCTTCCTTGTTGCAGCGTCTTGACTGTAGAGGGAGCTGGATGAGGACGAGGGAGGGCCAGGAGAAGGAGGAGGGTGAGCGACGAAACACGAGTGGGTCACGAGCTCCTCTTCCACCTCCTCCTCCTCCTCCTCCTCCTCCTCCTCCTCCTCCTCCTCCTCCCACCTTGCTCCTCTTCCTTGTCCGATATGCCTCCTCCTCCTCCTCCTTCTCTACCTGGCCCTTCACTTCCTCCTTTTCCCCCGCTTTCTCTTCCTGCTCTGCAATCTTCCCAACGTCCCCCATTATCCTGCAGCCCCCCTCCTTTTCTGCCGTCGTGTTGCCGCTGCCCACGCCTGCTGTGAAAAGCTGGCTGGCATCGCCGACCTCGACCGCCACCGTGACAACTAACGCAGGGAAACATAATCCAGGGGTCGGATGTCGGTTTCTTGAAGCCCTGAACCCAAAGACTTTTGTCATCTCTTGAGGGCGCATCTTGCACTTCCGCCGGCCTTCCGCTGACCTTCCGCCGCCGTCCGCTGGCAGCGGCGGCCTCGTTTTTTGTTCCTTCTGCCAGCTTCCGCCGCCCTCCGCTGAGGAAGCGGTGCTAGCTCGTTCGACTCTCGGAAGGGAGTGAGGGGCAACGATAGGGGGGGGGGGGCTGGCATATATGGGGAGATGCATCGACTTGGAATCGGCGATACATCGCCGGTAGTTCGGCGATGGGCCTCCGATAATGAATCCGCACCTTCCTGGGCAGGCTGGGGCTATCGGACCCCCATCCGCGATCCATGGGCGATTGGGTGTCGATGCATTCCCTTTTAGGGCTATCCCCCCCCCCTATCGTTGCCCCTTGAGGGAGGCCCTTTTCGCAACGCCTCATTCTATACTTGTTAGCGTTTTCTTATTCGGCGTTTCGACACTGGGCGGGAGGGGCTCTGGCGCAGGACCTCTGCTTCATGCGACTGTTTGCAGCAGTGCGTCCCATGGAGGACTCCACCTACTTGAGACAGGTGCCAAGAACAGCCAAGATCTACTCCATGGGAGGGGAGGGGGGGGGTCGAGGGCCCGCGCCGATCGGCAAAACAAGAAGTAAGAACACGATCACGTTGTTGGCATCGGGTCTTGTATATTCGGCGGGAAAAACAAGTTTGGAGCAAAGCAAGTATGTAGTCGACCCCGTACTCGAAGGACAGAAGAGCACCCCTCAAGAGCATGAACCCCCCCGCTAGCCCAAACTGCAGAGCATTCGAGTGCAGGGCTCGAGCTAGACAATGTTTTGCTCGTTTTCGTTATGTTTCGTCTTAGTTCGGTCTGCCTTCGTTCCGCCTTTGCCGTGAAACGAAATCGAAGCGAAAACGTTCCACGTAATCGCCCAAACACTGAGAAGCTCGAGCGCTGTTCGAGGGTGCCCCCACCAAGATGCAGAAGAACACATCCAACACGAACGAACAATACTGGGGTACCCTCCCCGAACAGACCTCGATCTTAGACCTCGGTCCGACCGCATCTTCGCGCCACTGCGCGTGACGTACAGAACACTCATTTCTAATTCCAGTCATTTGCAATTCCCGTCATTTCCAATTCCGGCCACAAATTGCAAATGAACGGTGCCGAAGAGAATGACCCTGGGAAGGCCACAGCGTCGGTCAGCGGACATGGCCACACGACGGCCCTGGCGAAGGAGGGCATGACCCTGGTGCAGAGGGACGACGGCCACAATGCCGAAAAACATAGTCCTGGGACGATGATCCCAGTGCCTAAATTCATGCCGTGTAACAAATCTACGAATACATTCAGGCAAAGGGGTTGCTCGTACCCTCCGTGGGCAGCTTGAAGCCGCCCATTCCAGCAGCCTGCTGGGACGAGAGAGAGCCCCCGTGGGGCGTACGGTCGGAAACTTTTGCTTAGCGTGCCACGGCGGCGGCCCCAGCGACACGCTATGTCTTGCGAGCGGATAGCGTGTCGCTCCGCTCCGCGGAGCTTTGGAGTCCCGAAACGGTGCGGTGGAAGACGGTGCGGTGACCTCGAAATCACCCAAGACCTCACCGCACGATCCGTCAAAACACGGTTTGGGGACCTCGGATGCCCCTGTCCCCCGAAACGTCCTCAGAGAACGACCCGAGTCCCAAAACTGTGCGGTGACCCCGGATCCCCACCGACTCACCACACGGTGTGGTCACAACCCCGTTTGGGGGCCTCCGAAAAACGCTCGGGACGTGGACGCTCGGGGACTGTGAGGCAGATCGCGTGTCTCGCCGAAGCGTGGGGGGCCAACGTCGACGGCGCGACGCGCTGAGCCAAACTGCCCGACCGTGTCCCGGCTGGCTGCTGCCTCATCCCACGGACAGACTGCGGGTAGGCAGCTTCCCGGTTCCGAGATCGAGCCCGCTCGCGGCGGCTTCGGCCATCGGCTCTGGCGTGAAAGCGGGGTCGCGGAGCGACCCAGTGAAAGCTCGAAATTCACGGCGATGAGGGGACGGATCGAGGAGGAGGAGGAGGAGGAGAAGGAGCAGGAGGAGAAGGAAGTCCGAGGATGACGAGGATGGAAAAGTTCAAACGGACCAGCGAAGGCATCGTCAAGGAAGAGACCGGAGAGAAATGAGAGGAGGAGAACGAAAAGGAGTCACGTTAGCCAGGTCGGACATGTCAGAGGGTCCTGCCTATTCCCACCCTCCCTCCCGTAACATCATAATCAATTGTGGTACCACCTCGTATCGCGCTTGGAACACGTTTCCACTTATATAACGAGCCGAAGGCGCTCGTGCGCGGTCCCGCTTCTGGCGACTCGGCGGCGGAACACTACGCGGGCCGCGCAAGAACGGGAGCGGCAGAACTTCCGATGAGCGCGGCGAAGACGATGCGCGCGCCGCACCGACACAGCACGGCCATTTTCACGCACAAGCTGCGCAACCCTTAGGCCAAATGAGCATTTCGTCCGCCCTCGCGCGGCCACGCTGCCGCTTCCGCTTTCATCCGATTTGGCGAACGAGCCGTGCGCCGCGCCTACGCGGGAACGCAACTTCCGAGCGAAATGCGCACGTCATCTCGCGCGGGCGCCAAACATTTGGCGAGTGCGAGGTATGGGCCGCGCCAAAGCGGGAGCGCTGCTTCCAGACGAAATCTGCTCGGCGCCGAGGCGAGATCGCCATTTTCGCTTGCTCGCGCGACGACGAAATGGCGTACGAAGAATATTCGCCGCGCCCAAGTGGGAGCTGAACTCTCTGGGGAAATAAATGCGGCGCCGAGACGAGAGCGACATTTCGCCGTTCGCACGTGGTGTGCGCCCCGTCCCAATCCAGCCACACATTTTACACCGCGGACGACATGCTGCAAGTAAGCATATGTACTTGGCAGTGTCTTGAACAGGTCAACAGACACACCGCTTTGTCAGGCTATCGGCCATGTGGGTGGCATAATAGGAGTAGGTACACATATCTGTATATATGTGTATTTACACAAACATACATATAGATGTGTATATATACATATATATACTTATACAATTAGATAGATCAAACTATGTCAAAGCAGATGAATAATAAGAAGCGCTCTTTCCTCTCGCATCAACCCTCAACGTGCGTTGTCAGGCACAGAGCGAGCTTGATGAGGTAGCACGCTGCCTCCCTCATCGCCGTCTGATGGGGATGCGAGTCGACGCCGCCCTGCAGTGCTGCGTCGTAGGCCGTCACCAGCGTGTCCCTCAGCGCCATCTCAACAACGGCGTGCGAGGACGGCACGGGCGCCTCGTTGGCGACGCCGGTGCTGGCGAAGTCGCTCCCGCCGAGCACCATCTTCATGCCCATGTTGGCCTCGAAGCTCAGGACGCCCTCGAAGGTGTGTAAGCCCATGCCAGCGGCGGCGGCCTCCTTTGCAGCGGCCGCCGGAAGGAAACCGTCCCGGGTGAAGGCCATGTCGAAGTCTAGCGCGGCCAGAAAGGTGCACGGCCGTCCCGACCAGGGCGGCTTGACCACCAAGTTGTTGGCGTGGGCGTTGCAGTGGATGCCCATGGCGTCGGCGTACGTGCCCCACGCGATGCCCGCGCCGTGCAGGGCTCGGACCGTGGCGCCGCACTCCCAGCCGAGCCGCCACGCCTCGGGGAACAGAAAATGACATAAGCACAACAACTCAGAGGTCCGCGCAGATTTCTCGGATCGGTGCTGGACCCATGGGGCGGCGCCCGAGCCGCCGCCAGGGGGCCCCAGCGCCGATCCGAGGGATCCACGCGGACCTCCCGGTCTTTGTGCTTATGTCATTGTCTGTTTCCCTAGCGCCAGCCACAGCAGCAGCGAGGGCTCTCCAGCCGCCTCCTTCGCAGGCCCGAGGCGCGCCGCCAGGCCCGCACGCGCCGCGTCCCAGGTGCCGGCCAAGGCCTCGGGAAGCTGGTCGGCGCAGGCGGCAGCAGGCCGGGGCGGGACCTCCTCAAGTGCGCTGCCCGAGGATGACAGCTTCGAGGCGGCGTCAGCGGTGGGCATGCCGCAGGACGTGACCGTGGCGGTGGGCCACAGGTCCTCTGTGCCTGCTGCTTCAAGTCCTCGCCCAGCGGCCACTGCTGCCCGCAGCGCGCCGAAGCCGTCGCTGGGCTCTGGCAGCAAGCTCGGCGCTAGCCGTAGCAGGCCAGCGACGAGGTGGTCGCCGAGCCGGGCATTGCCGATTGTCTCGAACACCGCGCAACAGCGCTCAATCCGCGGCAGCGGCCAAGCAGGGTCGCTCAAGTAGCGGTACAGCCCCGCGGGCCGGTTCGCGCAATCCAGCCCAGCGGTCGCCAAGGCGTCCGCCGCCAACAGGGTGACCCGCAGCTCCGTCAGGACGCAGTGCGGGAAGCAGCAGCCCCGTACACTGCGCTCCCCTCTGTCGCCGCAGGTCTCGACGGGGAAGCCGTCCTCCCGGTTCCCGCAGCCCTTCAGCCTCCACCAGGAGCCCCGGACCTTGGTCAGCGCGGAGCGCACGCCCGAGGCGACGCCGTCGAGCGCGCTGGGGGCGCCCGCGGCTGGCAGCGAGGGTGGGATCTTCAGCAGCGGCATCGCCGCCAGCTCGGGGGGCCAGACGGCCGCGCCGCTGCCCGCGCCGCCCTCCGCCTGCCGCGGGTCTTGCGGCTCCCAGTCCAGCGCCGGCACCGCGGGCACCACGGTGTCCGAGTACTCCTTGCCCAGGTGCGCCGAGGGCAGGCCCCTCGCCGCGGCCCGCGCGGCCAGCGCCTCGAAGCGGCCAGAGCCGTCGTCGGGGCGCGGCGGCTCCCGCCAGGCCGCCGGGGCCGCGGCCGCGTCGCCGGCCACGGGCGCAAGCACGGCCGGCAGGCGCCCGAAGAAGAGGGACTCCTCCGCGCGCAGCGCGGCCGCCGCGGCGCAGACGGCGCACGCGCGGCTGGACCGCTCCCGGCAGAAGCGCCGCTCGGAGCGGTCGGGGGCCACCCCGAGGTCTCCCAGCTCGTAGCCGAGCTGCTCCTCTCGCGGGCGGCGAACATATCAGCCGTATTCGCGCCCCGGCGGCCTGGATCCCGGGGCGCGATCCCGCGGACGCGCGGTCGCACGGATACGTCCCGCGAGAAAACGCCCCGTGTCCGCGGGGCCGCGGCCCAGGGGCCCGGCCCGCAATGCCGCGGATACAGATATGCGTGTTCGCCCACGACTGGGCCCGAAGAAGTGCCACGACTGGGTCTTACAGCGCGGCACCAGACTGCTTATCCGAAGCTGTGGTGCAGAAGCTAGACGCAGCAGACCGAGAGTTTCGCTCGGTACAACGTCGAACCAGACACACGAACGTGCTGCCTGCGGGGCCTGCCGTGCTTACAGGAGACACGCAGAGGGGGCCGCGGATTTAGCATCGGGTACTCTCTGGACTCCGCTTCGGCATAGAGTTCCAATACATTCCAGAGATCCGACGTTTTGATTTTTGCAAGACGGGCCCCCAGAAGTCTCGACCAACTCCCTGGGATCAGTTTTTCATCCTGAGTCGTGCTTTGACAGTCCCGGGGCCCGGCGAAGGCTTCAGAGGCAGAAGTGAGCGAATAACTTACGTCCTGCTGTTCCATACGTCGGATATCTGGGATAACGGGGCGAATTGAGACAACGCCAGCTCGAAATCGGTCCCCAGACCCCTCATACATGTCCCGAGCTGCGCACAGCCATGACGACCAGGGGCCCCCCGAAGGCCAACTACTGGTGTCTCCACTTGCCCTGCTCTCTGAATAGAGTTCCAATCGACATGCTTTGTTTCTGGAAAAGCGCGTTCCACTACTCGCGAAGTAACTACTCGCGAATGGCGTGGCTCCGCCGAGGAGGGTTCACCACACATTACATCGAGACGAACGTGTCCTTCTTCGGACGTTTGCGAGTAGGCACTTTGTGAGTATGAAGGGGCCCTGGGACACACAAATAAATAGATACAAATAACCGGATTCCCCATATTTGCAATATTTTCTGGTTTTTGTCTTCCCCCCCACACTTCCCATATTTCCACATATTTTCTCGGGGGAATCGACGACTAATTGTGTCTGTGTGTTTTGTTCCCTCCTGAGAGTAAAAGAACGCCCCTGGTGAGTTTCGCCTGCGTTCCTCGGCAAGCATGCCGGAATCCAGATTGACGGTGATGGTCTGCGGCAGAAGTTTCCCGAGGCGCGTCCAGCCCTGGCGACGAGGGGCCCCCCGAAGGCCAACTACCTTTGTCTCAACTCGCCCTCCTTTCAATTCGCTGGCCCAAAGGGTCAGAGGCGTGCTAAGATTTCCTGCAACAGGTTAACATCATTTGTAGTTCGCGCGCGTGTGGCGGCCCCTGGGGACCCCCAGACGAAAAGTACCCTGACTGATGCCCGGCCGACGCCCAGCCGACTCCCTCAGAGCGCTCCAGGAGCGCGCCAAGAGGGCGCCGGGACGCTCCTGAAACGGTCCAAGAGGCAACGAGTCGCCGAAAGCTCGCTCCAAGACGCCCAAGATGGCCTCCATACGGCCCTAGAGGCCGCCAAGAAGCTTCAAGAAAGCCTCGAGGCCGCAAATATCGTGTCATTCTCTTCGAAAAGCGTATATATTTTATCGCAGGTGCGACGTTTGGGGGTTCATGGCGTCCAAACATGCCCGAGAGGCCCCCAAGAAACGCCCCCAGACGGCCCAACAGGCCCCCAAGAAGGGCCAAAGAGAGCCTAAGAGGGCCCCAAGACGGCCCAAGAGGGCACAAAGACGGCCCAAGAGGCGCCCAAGACGGCGCAAGACGCTCCCAAGAGGGGGAGCTCGAAATGACATTCCAATTTTTTCCATCCCACGAGCCACCTCCGAGACCGCCAGCAGGCCCCCAAGAGGCCCCCAAGAGGCCCCAAGAAGCCCCCAAGAGGCTCAAAAAGGGGCCCCCAAGAAGCCAGCAATAGGCTCTCAGAAGCCCCCAAGAGATTCAAAAAGAGGCCCCCAGGACCCCCAAACGGCCCCCAAGAGGGATCCAAAGGCTTCCAAACTGCCTCCACGAGACTTTCGCAAGACGTCAACACATTTGCCGAAGAAGCTCCACTCCATGAGCATGCGCATTCCAAAATTCGGCGACGAGGCAACATACATACTTTCACAACGACGTGCAAAACCTTCAGAAGAAACGTCTGTCAGCGACGTCCTTTGGCCTCTACTGGGCTCCAAGAAGCCAGAGAAGACCCCAGTCTCCTCCTCCTCCTCCTCCTCCTCCTCCTCCTCCTCCTCCTCCTCCTCTTCCTTTTCGTCCTCCTCTCCTCCCATCCTTCTCCTCTCCTCTCCTTCGCCTCACCCTGGTCGTCCTCTCCTCCCCTCCTTCTGCTCGTTCAGCCGCCGCCTGGGCCACGAACGCGCAAACAAACGCCAACGATGGCACAATACGGGCCGGCGGAATGAGCGAAGCGATTCAATAATGGAGTTCCGATCGAAAGTTCGTTTGTGTGTGTTTCGCCCAGGTCGGGCGCGAAAAAATGGGGGGGCGGTAAATGGGAAGTGGAGGGGGGGAGAAAGGTGCCCTTCTCGGGTCCTGAAAAGGCCCTGCCCTGGGTCCTAAAGGGCCCTTATAAAGGGCCCTGAAAAGGCTCCCCCCCCATTGACCGCCCCGCCCCAAAAGAATAACAAAAGCACATAAACATAAATGTTTGGCGCTCCGCGCTGATTTCTTGGATCAGCGCTGGACCCCCTTCCCTGGCGCGCTCCGCGCGCCAGGGGCGGCGCAGGAGGCGCCGCCAGGGGGTCCCAGCGCGGATCCAAGAAATCCGCGCGGAACGCCAAAAGTTCATGTTGGTGTTTCTTGTCTTCTTCGATTAATCGCCGCCCCATTGCGCGCCCCCCGACCACGATCCTCGGCGGTCATACCAGAGTCCAGGTTGACGGTGATGGTCTGCGGCAAGACCCGTTTCGGCCGCGCGCACGGGCGGGGCGCCCCCTCCCTGGCGGCAGCGGGATCGCCCGGCTCCGCCTCGGGCAGCTCGGCCGTGAGCAGCGCCATCCACTGGGACACCTCGAGGGGCCCAAGGGAAGACACAAATGGGCGATTTCGAAAACCCTGAACCCAAAATCGTTTTCATCTCATGGGGGCGCATGTTTTACTTCCGCCGCCTTTCGCCGAACTTCCGCCCGCTTCTGCTGGCGGAGGCGGCCTCGTTATATTTCCGCCGACCTTCCGCCGCCTTCCGCCGCGGAAAAGATGGCAACTCCTTCAACTCGCGAAAGCAAGGCCTTTGTTGGAATGCCCCAAATAGATCGACACAACTTCTAAGATCTCCAACTGATTGCCCCCGACCTTCTGGAGCCATGGGGGCCGAGGAGAACCCGAAAGGCCTCCCAGGCACCCCTGAAAAACCCCAAGAAGGCACCAAGGCGCCCCAAGAGGGCTCCAAGAGGGCCCAATAAGAGTGCCCAAAGAAGCTCCGCGAGGATCCGAATAGAGCCCCAAGATGGTTCCAAGAGACCTCCGAGAAAACGCTTCAAAGGCGGTCGTGACAATGCACTTGTCTAAACGTCCCTGGTCAAAGCGAGTGACCTAGCGATCTGCTTTTTGACGGGTTGGTGGGGATACTTTTTGGTACGCGAGCTCGCGAAGCAGGTCGAAACCCCGGGCAAAGCTAGGGCGGGCCGCGCCGAAGCAAAAAGGAACAACATAACGGAGCAACGCCCGGCTCCGACACGGGCTCAGCGTCCAACAAAACGAAAGGTATGGCAGACCGGCGCGATGACCATGACGAGAAGGGAGTCCGAGTGCGCAGCTGGTGGGGGATTTTTTTGGCGCGACCGCAGGCGAAGGCGCCGGCGGCGTCACAGGTCGGCTCGGGCTACGAGCACAACTACTTGCCTAGCGCGCGCGCAAGCAACAGCTGAACCCACCGCCGGGGGAAGCCGAGGGCAGAGGCTGCAAAAGCTGCCGGAAGCTGCCAGGGGGCTGTGCAGGCGCGCGGGCACCCCAGGGACGAAACCACCGAGATGGGTGAACTGGACCTTGTCGCATCCAGGCGCCAGAGGTCGACGCGCCACAGAAGTGGCGAAGCGCGGGGCTGTATAAACAGTGCAACGTGCATGGCTGCAGACCGACAGGGGTAACACGTTGGTGGGAATACTTTTTTTTTTACAGCCGCAGGCGGAAGCGCCAGCGGCAGGCGGTCACGGTCAGGCTGCGGCCGCGACTAGGGAGCGGGCGCGCGCGGGGCCGCGGTCAGGCGGCAGGCAGCAGCGACCCAGGGCGTCTGAGCCAAGGCGTGCAAATCCAGGGAGTCTGCAGGGCAGCCCCTGAAAGGAACATGCAACGGCGCATCCAGGGAGTCTGAACACAGGCGCCGAGGAAGCAGAGCGCAGCCAAAATGGCGCGTAAGGCGTTCCCAACGGATAGGAAACGGTCCCGGTTGGTGGGAATACGCGAAGCGTCAAGAATTCCAACATTCTCCCCTGTGAACATATTGTCGGACATGACTCTTCCCTGAAACTTCCTGCTGTGAATTCCAGCGCTTACGTGTGTCCGTGCCTTTTCTTTGCTCCTGGACACCATGGCCACGGCGCAACCAAGGCACGGGCAGACCCAGCTCCCGACGTACCTGGTGTCGACCGGCTTCTCGGGGCGGACGACAAGGGGGGATACTCGGGGGCGCGCAAACATGGATTAGCAATCCATGTATTTGGCGCGCGGTCGCAAAATCCATGGATCTGGGGAGGTGCCCTCCCGAAATTGCGGCCGGTGCCACCTCGCTCGGCGACGGAAATCTGCGATTTCCCATGGAAGCGGGACCCGTCGCTAATCCACGCCCCCTTGATCCATGTTTGCGATCGCCTGAGATACACAGGAAACCCACATATCCGACGACTTTTGCTCGTCTTTCCTCGATGTTTCGGCCTCCGGGGCCCGTGTGATCCAACAGAAGTCTTGGTCCCAGGGCGACACACTGGCCCCGCGGAAGGGGTCGGGAGCAGCAAGGCCGCGCGTTGAACAGGTCAGCTCGCCAGATGTCGGTGGGAAGGGGATGATGCCATTTTCGGCCTCGGGGGGCCCTCGCCTGGCCTGGGACCGTCAAAAAACGATTCAGGACGAAAAACTGGTTTCGGGGAAAGGCTCGGGACTTTCCGAGACGCCGTTATGAAAAATCAAGACGTCGCATGTCTGGGGCCGCATCGACTCACGTATAGCTGCTTCTTCCGGCGCCTCCCGGCAAGGGGAAGCACGCGTGCGTAATCAAGGCGACCGGCGGCGGGTCCGAAGCCAGCTGCACGCAGCCGATGTCGCCCCTCTCTCCGCCCCCTTTTTTCGGTGGCGAGCGAGGGGGGGAAGTGAGAAGGAGAAGGGCCTTCTCAGAAGGCGCCGGGGCTTCTCAGAAGGCCTCCAGCCTCTGTGAATTTTTTTATGTCTCCGGGGCAGGCTTGGATAACTTCCCAGAAGGCCGGGGGACTTCCGAGCCTTCCGAGAAAGCCCGCCACCTCTGCATTCCCCCCAGGGCTGGCCGCCGACTTTCCCTATCCCCCATTTTCGTCCAGCCCGAGCTTTGGGCGCGGCACGAACGCAACATCTGGAAGCGCCGACACGGCGCCAGGCAAGAGCCGCTCGGTGACCTCGGCTTTGCTCCAGCTGCACTGAAGGACCACATCCCAGAAATAATTTCGAGCACCCGGACAAGAGTCGAAAGAGTGCTGAAACAGCGTCGGACGAGTGTCTCCCAGGGCCCGACACGTGAAAACCGTCGAGTTTCCGTACCCTTTTGGTTGTCGGAATTCTTTCTGGTGGTCAAGGCTAAAGCAGGTTGGAACAGCATAAACCTCGGCGTGGAGCCCGAGCAGGAAGGCCAGCAGGTCGGCCGCGAGGGACTCTGGCCTCAGCGCCGCGAGCCCGGCCCTCCCCAGCGCCCTCGAGACGACCTCCTCCAGCAGCACGCTCCCGGAGCTGCGGAACTGGACGTCCTTGGAGGCCTCCCAGAATGTTCGGGCCCCCCAGACGGGGTGGTGACCACACCGTGTGGTGAGTCGGTGGGGATTCGGGGCCACCGCACGGTTTTGGGACTCGAATCCCTCTCCGAAGATGTCTCGGGCGACTGGGGCCTTCAAGGTCCCAAAACGGTGCGTTGACGGACCGTGCGGTGAGGTCTTGGGGGATGTCGAACCGCAGGGTCTGTCACCGCACCGTTTCGGGACTCCACAGAATGGGGCCCGAGGGGGTGGATCTGGAGGATCGCGCCGCACCTGCATCGGCGATGCATCGGCGACGTCGACGTTGAGAACGTCGGACTCCACACCGAGCCGCATCGCCGGTGCATCGGAGCTGCGGAGCGATCGGAGGGCCGGCGAGGGCCTCGACGGAGTTCTCCGCCGCGCCCCCCGAGAGGCCCGACGAGGACAACGTGGTGCCCCCCAGAGCCCGACAACGCAGATCGCGAACCACGCCTGCAGCGTACCCAGAGATCCGCGGCCTGGATTTTTGCACGACGTGGCTCCCAGAAGTCGCACTGCACCGACCTTGCAGACGTGCTGCAGCGGATTTTTGCGTGGATTGCTGTCAATGCGAACCTCCAAAACGGCGAGTGAAAAACCAAGTGAGTTTCGCGTGGATTTTTGTTTAGTCATTCCTGGCCCGAAGAAATCCTCACGAAATTCACGTCGAAATCCGGAACGAAGTTCTCCAGGACTCTCCGGGTCCATCCTATTAAAATCCGAGCGAAATCCGCTCTGCGATGTTGGCCCCATGAGAAGTCTCGACCCACTCCTGGGGACCAGCTCTTCCTCCCGAGTCGCGCTCTGACGGTCTCTGGGGTCCAGCGAGGTCCTCCAGTGGCTGGCATCAGCGAACAACTTACGTCTTGTTTTCAACACGTTGAACATCTGGGATACTCGAAATCCTTTAACAATCACCCCCCCACGATAAAACTGGACCCCCCCTTCAACGGCTACCTAATTTTCCGGACCCCACTGCCAACAGGGGGCCTTCATATTCCGGGCCCGCGTCTTCGGTTCAAAAAAAGCCCTAATAAACCAGCCCGCCCGCTTACAAAAAAAGACGCCTCGAAAAACGGGACCCAGGGGACGACTTTCAGAGGACTTCGAGTAACGGGGCGAGTTGAAACAACGCCAGCTCAAAATCGGTCCCCAGACCCCTCCAGTGGCCCAGACGCAAGAAGGTTTTCCGAGCTGCTCCCAGACGCGGCGACGAGGGGCCTCTCGAGGGCCCTCCTCTGAACACGCCCGGGACCACCACACCCTGGCACCACCACACCCTGGTGGCCCCAGGCTGGAAAAAGCCGCGGAGGGCCCAGGAAGAATCGGCCTCTGAAATAGTTCTTTTTTCCTCTCCACAACGTTGGCCCCAGGAGGTCTGGAACTAACTCACGACACTTAGGTCGGGCCTGTCCTCCTCCAGGGGGATTTTGGACGGAAAATTTAAAAGTCAAACAAATACACCTAAATGGTCAAAACATGTTGAAAAAGTCGTCCCCTGACAATTTTTTTAATATTTTTGAGCATTCCTCCTGTAGAGGGACAGGCCCGACTTAACAGGACACTCGCTTTTTATCCTGAGTCGTGTTGTTTGCGGCCCTTGGGCCTGGCGAGGGCCCTCGGAAGCCCAAACTGGGGCAACACCGCAGCGAAAAACTTACGCCTGGGATCATACCACCCTCTGCAGTCGCCGATCCTCCGACAGGAAGAGGACGAGCTCGCCGGGCCGGTCCCGGGGCCCGGCGAGGGCCTCCAGAGGCCGAAAGCAGCAACTAACCGTATACGCCTGGGATAGCCGCATCCTCTGCACAGACCAATCAAAAACTGCACACAACATAAAATGTTGACGGTCCGCGCGGATGTATTGAATCTGAGCTGGACCCTCCTCCCTGGCGCCCTGAGCGCGACAGTGGCGGGGCGGCGCCAGGGGGTCCCAGTGCAGATCCAAAAAGTCTGCGCGGACCGCCAACAGTTTACGTTTATGCCGCTTCTGATCTTTCGACTGCAGTCGCCCGTCCTCCGACAGGAAAGCGCGCCGTTGCGTCTTGACGCGCTGATGCTGCACTGGCGCGCGTGGCAAACTGATCGGGCACAACGGCTAGGACCCAATCCAGTGGGCGGCGATCTCACCCAGGCTGACCCCGGGTAAGGGTATGTTTCGAACCAATGAAAAAGTTGTCGTTTACTGCGAGGCGGTAATTTATCCATATCCACCGCATGGGAACCGACGTCCTGCATGGTGCCCCGGCGGGCGGTTTTGGCCCCCGGGGGCCCGAATGTATCCATATCCGCCGCCTGTGGAAGTCCGCGAAGATCGAGCCCCCAGGCGTTGGTTATGGACACATTCCCGCCTCGGACTTGTGCAGGTGTTGATCCTTTGACGGCAATCGCCGATCCTCCGAAAGGAAGCGCGCGAGCTCGCCGGGCGCCACCTCGGCGCCCGCCGCGCGCGGCGCGCCGGCGGCGAGGAAAAGGCCCAGCCGCTCGAGCAGGCCGCCCGCCCGGGACACCGCGTGCTCGCTGGCCCCGAAGGTCGACAGGAGGGAGTCCTGGGGGGCAAGCAGTGGCGCAAGCAGAAAAGCTCGAGGAGAGCAATGACCGTGTTTTATGTTGTTCCCATCGCACTTCAGGACCGCATCGCAGAAACAATTTCGAGCGACCCGAGAAGCATCGAAACAGTGTCTGCCCGACACGCTGGCGAAGTGCCGAACGAGTACCGCCTCCCATGGCCCGACAAGTGAATACCTCCAGTTTCGGTGCTTTCTTGGTGCTCAAAATTGGTTTTGGTGATCAAAACTAAAGGTTGGAAGATCCTAAACCGTGCTGGGATGAAGGGGTTAGGAAGATCAAGGGCATGATCAATAGCATCTGGATGCAGTGAACGATACCTTCGGCCGCCTACGGGTGGTGAACTCCGCATTTCGCCCGACCCCATCCTCCCAACCCGATAGTTGTGTTCCTGGAAGCTCGGAGGTCCGCGCAAATTCCTCGGACTGGCGCTGGACCCCCCCCCCTCGGCGCGCGGAACTGGAGGCGCCGCCAGGGAGGTCCAGCGCCAGTCCGAGCAGTGTGCGCGGACCTCCGAGCTTTGATTTAGGTCGGGCATGTCCCCCTACAGGCGGATTCTGGGCGAAAAATGAAAAACACTCAGAAATATTTAAAACAAAGAAACAAAAAATACAAAAAATCGTTCCCATTCTATTTTTTGACTATTTTTGAATATTCCCCCTGTGGAGGGACAGGCCCGACTTAAGGCTTTGATGCTGATGTCTTCGTTTGTTCCCCGCGTCCTGGCAGAAGGCGCAGGTCTCCTCGCAGGCAATCGACAGTGCATCCCTCGATTCCTGTCTCCTCGATGCCCCGGGTGACCACGAGGAGAGGGAGCTAGGGCTGGGGGGAGGGGGAGGGGACAGGAGACGGAGGGGGGGGAGCAGGAGGAGAAGCATGCGTGGACAAGGCCGCTCGCAGGACAAAAGATCGAGGAAGATGAGCACGATCGACCGGATGGAGCCCTGGCAGAAGGCACAGGCTACCCGGCTACCCCGTGGGCGATCGACGTCTAATCCGAGCGAGGGGGGGAGGAGGGAGGCTCGAGGAGCGAGGAGGCGCGGGGAGCGAGGCGGGGTGGCGAGGTGGAGCGCGGGCGTGGGGCGTGAGGGATCCACGTAAGACGACCCGATTCGGGTGAGGACAAATCGAGAATCTCTGAGGTCCGGCGGTTCTGGGGGACTGTCTCGGGCGTCGCGGCCTTCTCAGAGCGTTCTGGATCGCTCTGGAACGGATTTGTCCTCGCCCTAGCCTCGCCCCGAAGCGCAGAGGCACGCTCCGGAGGGCAGAGGAGGAGGAGGAGGAGGAGGAGGAGGAGGAGGAGGAGGGGGAGGGGGAGGAGGGGGAGAGGGGGGGGGGGAGGGGGAGGAGAAAAGAGGACAACGGCCCGAGGAGCCGAGGGGCCGCCCCAGGGCATCGCCGGGGACCCGGTCCAGGAGATGCCCGGCCAGAGTGCGGCCTTTGGAGCTTTGCCATCGGAGGCCCCTGCTCGCGCCTCGGCCCCGCGATGGGGGCCAGGGCGGGCAGCTCCGGGGGGAGCGCCGAGGGGGCGGGCCTTCTCGGGAGGCCCGCAAGGCCTCGGGCCTCCCGGGCGGCTTGCGAGAAGCCTTCCCCGGAGACGGGGGCGGCTCCTCAGAAGGCCCGGGGGCCTCTGGGAAGCCCCGCCGCCGCCTCCTGAGAAGGCCTTCATCGAGAGAGGCCTCCTTGACTGGGTCCGAGTAGACGGGGTCGGAGGATCACGCCGCGTCGCCGATGCATCGGCGATGCCTTGCCGACGCCGGCGTGGAGATCATCGGGCTCCACATGGAGCCGCATCGCCGATGCATCGGCGATGCGGCGCGATCCTCCGACCCCATCGGCCTGGGAAGCCTCGATCCTCGGGGCAGCCCGTGTACAGCTCCACGAGGTACTTCCACCCGAAGGACTGCCCGCAGACCAGCGGCAGGCCGAGCTCCTTGCACAGGGAGTTCACGCAGAAGTCCCACGCCACGCCCACGTCGATGCAGTTGAAGACGACGGTGGCGGTGCGCGCCAGGGCGACCACCCTCGTGAGCATCGTTTAACCCATCCCCATCCCCAGCGGCGTGGCCTGGGTCCTACTGGCCGGTTTACCCCCCGTAGAAGGGGATACACATGTGAGGATGGGGATGGGGATGGGGATCGGTTAAACGATACCGACCTCGGCCACTCGAGCACCGCATCGCAGTGGACGGCCTGCACCTCGGAGCGCAGGCTGTGGTGCCCGCGCAGGTTCTGTGCCGCCACGTCCACCTTCCGCTGCCCCACGTCGGCCTTGGAGCCGAGGCACTGGCGCGTGAGGTTCGAGGCCTCGTAGACGTCCCGGTCCACCAGTATGATCTCTGCCACCCCCAGGCGAGCCAGGGTGAGAGCGACGTCCTGTGAAGCAGTGGCGAAGCGTCCTGTCTCGCCTATAGGCCTACCAAAGAATGTTCTGAGAACCTTTTGTGGTTTGCACGAACTGTTCTTAGAACATTTTTGGCTGGGACGGTCTTGTTTTAACAAATCGGGCTTATGTTCTAAGAACATTTGTTGGGTTCTACGAACATTTCGTGGTAGGCCTACGGGAATGCCAGGACGGTCGGTCCCTGCTCGAGTCCTGGCCAACCCCACCGGCCCCGAGGACCAGGCAGGTCTGCCGCTCCACCAGGCCCTGGTCGAAGCCGCACATGACGCGCTGGCGGTCGAACGCGTCCCCCGGCACCTCTGGGGAAGCCCAAAAGTATACCGATGCTGACACTCCCCGGACCTCCCGCGGAGTGCGTTCCGACCAGGATTTCGGGGCGAACTCAGCGGTGGCGACGAGGGCCTCCCAGGAGGGTCACGAGGGGGAACACGAGGGAAGGGCAGCGATATGGGGACCTTCTCCTCCTCCTCCGGACCTCCTCTGGTGGCGGCCTCTTCCGGTTCTCGATGCCGCAGCCCGCCAGGTACTGGGGCGAGTCCTCGGGCCAGCGCTCGTCGCGGCGCACGAAGCCGCGGAACACGGTCTGCGCCCGTGGTGGCCAGGGTCATCGACGGGGCCATGGGGGGGGGAGAGCCACGCAACCAGACGGGGTCCCTCGTGGCAGAGCATCACAGCTTGCCGGCGCACACAAGGGGGGGCAGGGGTGGGGTGGGGGGGGAAGCTTCCCAGAAGGAGGCTGCTTCTGAGCAGGCGCCGGCCTCACATCTACAGATAAAAGGCCCGCGCCTTCAGAGAATCGGGGGCGCGCAAACATGAGTTAGCGATCCACAGATTTGGTGCGCGATGGCCAAATCCATGGGTCGGGGGAAGTGCCCTCTCCCCAAAATGCGGCCGGTGCCGCCTCTTTCGGCGGCGGGAATCCGCGATGCCCTATGGAAACGGGACCCGTCGCTAATCCACGTCCCCTTGATCCATGATAGCGATCGCCTGAAAGAAGCAGAGGGGTGCTTCTGAGAAGCCTTCCCCCCTCCCCCCTTCCCCTGTTTCCCTCTGCGCGTGGCCGAACAGGGACCGCCCCCGATGGTCGGCTCAAGGGACCGTGGATGCGCCCGGCTTGACCTCTCGGGGTCTTGCCAGCGTCCACCGACCGTCCGCCAACGATGTCGCCGGGGACCTGCTTCCGCCAACTTCCGCGGGACTCCTGCCGGTTCCGCCGAGGGCCAAGCCTCTCCCTCTCGAGCCCTCGAAAGCAGGACCCGGCAAGGTCGCGCCCTGCATACGTGGCATCAGGTCAGTCGTCTTGCAGCTACATGCGGTCAGGAGCTTTTGCTTAGCGTGTCGCGGCGGCGGTCCTGGCGACACGCTATGCCGTGCGAGGGGATAGCGAGTTGCTCCGCTCCGTGGGGCGGGAAGGCGAGGAACTGGGGAGGTTGACGGTTGGACATGCGCACGTGGTCGTCGTGTCACGCCAAAATGTTGTCGGCTATAACCGGCGGCGCGACACGCTACGCAAACGCTCCCGACCGTAACCAAACAACTGCACAAACAGAAACTGTCCGAGGTCGGCGCGGATGCCTTGACTCGGCGCAAGGCCCCCCTTCCCACAAGCCATCCTGGACGCGCGGTGCGAGCTGGGGGCGGCGCTGGAGGCACCGCCAGTGGTGTCCCCTCCCTTCCGCCCAAGCATGGGAGCTGGGGTGGGGGCGCACCCCCCGCCGTTTCGTGCCCGCGATCAACGTTGCACGATGACCGCCCACGATCCCGTGGCGGAGGCCCCAGCCACACGCTGTGCCCTGCAAGTGGATATCGTGTCGCTCAGCTCCGCGGGATGGAAAAACTTGGAACGCAAACGCCCGGTGACCGGGATGTGGACAGCGTGCCGCGTCGAAACGCGGTTGGCCAGGCCCGGCAGAACGACACGCTATCCAAAAACTCCCGACCGTACAATCGGGCTGCTGAAAGAAGGAACGATGCGTACGGAACGGCTCCCATTCTTGGCGCCAGCAATGCCCGCGTGCACGACAAGGGCTAGAGGAACAACCACGGAACGACCCAAGGAACGGCGAGCCTCTTCCGAACCCGAAGCAGTCCTTCTTTCGGCGTCTTGAGCGTAGACTTCGGTCGGAGGAAGTAGGTAAACACATGAAGTAGGACGGCGGATAGAGTAGATTGGGTTCAGACCCTCCCAGAAAATAACAAGGCACAGCAGCAGCATGTCGGTTCTTGAAGTAGGAAGGCGTTTGGAGTAGATTGGGATCTGGGCATCCAAAAATACATACTTTCAACGACGGGCGCATGGGTCACCTGATTTCGCTGGGTCGTCCCCCAAAGATGTGCGACGATCGGTAGCCTTCGCGCCCTCGCGCCGCACCCCCACTGGGGAAAAAAGGCAGCCCGGCGCGGCCCAGCCTGCGAGGCGCCTGGCGTGAGCATCTTCGCGCGCCCTGCGGGGGACCTACGGTGGGGGCCCTTCCACATGAAACCTTCCACAAGAAACCCAACCCTGAGACCCAGGACGTCCCTTGGTTTTTGGTGTGGGAACGTCGTGCTCTCCATCGCAAGACCATCGAAACCGAAGAAATCCCTCGGGCACCCTGGATGCAAGCAGGGCGTCTCTCGGCATGGGTCTCCACTGTAGAGAGTCTGAGCCCATGCCGCTTCTCGGTCCTCGACGTTGCTCCCCATCTCGGCTCGAGCCGCCGAGGCTCGAATCTAGAAGTCTCAAGGGGCACAGGAGGGACGCAAAAGCGTAGACCCCAAACAGTACGTTTCCAGCAACCTCAGGTAGGCCATCTATGTGGTGCAATCCGTGTGGTGCAATCGATGTGGTACAAAGCAACGGGTCGGCGACGCAAGGCAATGCACCGCACTGCAGAGCAATGCAAAGTAACGCAGCGCAAAGCAATGCAGAGTCAGGCAACGAAATGCAAAGCATGCAGAACGACGCAAAACAGCGAAAAGCAATAGAACGTAACGCTGCGTACGCGATGCACAGAAATTCACAGCACCCCAAAGCAATGCAGCGCAACGCCATGCAGTGCAACGCAATGCAGAGACAGGCACCGGGGCTCAGACGAAGGGCGGCGACGAGGCGGCGACGGGGCGGTGACGGCGACAACAAGGCGGCGGACCCGACACCGGAGCGCAGACGACGGGCGGCGACGAGGCGGCGACTGCGCGGCGACGGCGACAACATGGGGGGGGCCAGACGACGGGCGGCGACGAGGCGGCGTCGGGGCGGTGACGGCGACAACAAGGCGGATACGACACCAGGACCAAAAATGCAAACCCTGAGAGCAAGCACTGTTTGGGGAATTTCCTGGATCGTCCTCCTCCACTTGCCATAGTTTCCTATAGTTTCATGGGAACCTCTTTTGTGCTTGTGCCGATGGTTTCTTGCTGGAAGTCTCTAGAGCCAGGCAGTGAAATGAAATGCGCAGTCACAGCTGGTGAGCTCTTTGGTTTCCTCGTTGTAAGCTGGAGTAGTGAACGCCAATGGCCAGTGGGGGGGGGCGGTGCAGTAGTTCGCGTACACGATCTAATTCGCGAGCTACTTCTTCTGGGGGGTACGGTTTATTGCACGGGGCATGAACCACTGCTTCTGCAAGCATAGACGATTGCGCCCACGCGCAAGTCCAGACCGCAAACAAGTGCATCCGTGCAGAGACTACTGCAATTACTCTTGTACCTACTCTGGCCCTCCCCATCTGTGCTAGCCCTCCGAAGAGCAGGGCCACCACGGGTCTGCGTGAGGTCCGTCCTGACCGACTGCTCCCCCGCGGTGTGCCGCAGGCCGCCCTCTGCCTCGTCGCCGCTACCGCCGTCCTCGCCGCCTCCGTGCCAACGTCACCATCCTCGCCGCCGCCGCCCTCGCCGCCGCCGCCGTGGCAGCTGCCGCCGCCCTCGCAGGCGCCCTCGCCGCCGCCCGCCGCCGCCGCCGGCCGCCGCCGCCCGCCGCCAGCCCGTTGCCACCGCTACCGCCGCTGCCGCCGGCGCCGCTGCAGCCTCCAGCGCCGCGGCCGCGGTGCCGTGGCTGCCCGGGGCCTCCGCGCCAGGCTCCACCGCCGCGGCGCGGGCGGGGCGGTGGTCCATGGCAGACGCGCCACGGCCGCGACCGTCTGGGGCCACGGTGGCTGCAGACTCCTCCACGTCCCGTCGGTGTCCCGTCGGTGGCGCGGTGGTGTCCCGTCGGTGGCGCGGGGTGCCCCGTCGGTGGCGCGGCGGTGAGATCAATAGTGAGTGTGCCTCCCTCGCCTCCTCTCGATGATCCCCAGAACGTGCGTTAGCCCCAGCGTGTCTGTCCATCGAGACCTTTCAATACGACGCAGGCGGTGTAATGATCGATCGATGGAGCTGACCAGGGTCAACACACCACACGTCCTGAGGATCATCTATCCTCTTCGGCCTCCCTCGTCTCCTGTGCATCCGCGGCGTACAAGCTCGCATTGGTGTCGCGCGTGTCCCCCCGCGAGCTCCAATGGCCACTCCGGGCCTGGCTTCTGCGCTGCCCAGCATATCGCGCTGCTGCTCCGTGCCTAAAGTCTGCCCGACGCTCGCCTCGTCTCGCCATTCCTCAGCTCTCCTTGTCCAGGAGAGCCCAGAATCCTCCTCCTCCCCCTCCCCCTCCCCCTCCTCCTCCTCCTCCTCCTCTTCCTCCTCCTCCTCCTCCTCCTCCTCCTCCTCCTCCTCCTCCTCCCTCTCCTCCTCCCCTCTCCCCTCCCCCTCCCCCTCCCCGTCCCCCTCCCCCTCCTCCTCCTCCTTCTTCTCCTCCTACTCCTCTCCTCCTCCTCCTCCTCCTCCTCCTCCTCCTCCTCCTCCTCCTCCTCCTCCCCCTGCTCCTCCTCCTCCTCCTCCCCTTCTCCTCTTCCTCCTCCTCTTCCTCCTTTTCCTCCTCCTTCTCCTCCTCGTCGACACAAGCCTACGCTAACTCGTGGTTCGCGCCACAGGCCACTTCCGTCACCGCATAGCCGAAGCTAGAGGCGGGTGGCGCCTCCGATCTAGACTGCAAACTGCCAGACGAAATACAGCACACGCGAGTGAGACTCACCCGCTCGGCTGAGATCCGCCGGCCTGAACGAGGCGACCAGGAGCCTCCAGATTCTGCCGACCATGAACCTGGCAGGGGGCCTGGCCAGGTTAGAGAGAACTCTGAAGCTCCAGGACCCCGCAGGCGGCGGACCCTTACACTCAACTGAAAAGCGAGCAGTCACCTGCGTTCCTTCACTTCCACACATACGCACAACACACCACACACACACACCACTCTCGCCGACCACAGTTCACGAAAACTTGGAACGGGTGAGTGACATGCGGGCGTGCCTCGCTGGAAGAGGCATCTCTGACACAAGCGGCGGACACCGGCAGTTGAATCGGGAGAAATCAGATCAACGGACATCGGCAGGCTGGTAGGCCTCCGCTGAGACATCGGAATGCAGATCGTAATCCGCAATCGGATCGAATCGAGATCGGAAGCTATCGAAATCGAATTGAACCGAATCGACTCGGAGAAGTTGAAATGAGCCCTGCTATCTGGCCTTGCCGTGCCTACGTCTCGAGCCGTACGGCCACAGAACATGTTTGAGGTTACACCCGAGCAACCAACCTGTGGAAACATGCCACAACGAACCAAAAGAGACCAGACCAGGCCAGACTGCACCAAACCACACCAATGCACCAATGAATCAGCCACGTACATCGAGCATACCATCAAGCCGAATCGACCTAGCGTCCAGCGACCGCGCGACCAGCGAACGCTGCAGCTCCGATCTCGGCCGCGCGATCATGGAGGGAGTGATGAGGCTGAGCTGCTGGCCATGCTGGACTGAAGGGGATTGCTGACGGTTGCTGCCTCCTTCCGGCGGCGTTCCTGCAACGCGCGGCGGTCGCAGTGAGGGTGTGGCAAAGAAGGTGGCGCTGCTGCACAAGATGGCGATGCGATCGTTCGTGACGACACGATGGCGGCACGCTCGTGCTACGCGCGTACCTTATGCTGATGACCAGACCCATCGCGAAAACAATCTCCAGAGCTATGACGACAGCGCAGCGCGGCCTCAGAGGTTGAGGAGTGCAATGGGTGCACTAAGTGAAGCTTCTCCTCTCGGACCTGCAGGGAATCATCAGCATTACCATCCTCCGCATTCCGACGGCCTTCTGCTGGCAAAACCGCCCTCGTTTTGCATCCGCCGCCTTTCGTCAACCTTCCGCCAGCTCCCGCCGTAGGCGAGACATCAACCTTCGATCCCAGGACAGCGAGGCCCTGTCTGGACCAGCCTGGATAGCTCGGCGGTCGCTGGACGGTAACGCGCAACAGGGCTGGAGCTCCTCCCAGGCCCAACATCTGGCCGCAATCGGCGTCTTTCGCGAAACGTCGACAACAGCTACCCCAACATGGTGGAAAGCTTCTCATGGTAACCTGGAGGCAATCTGGCCATAAGGTGACGCAGATTACCGAACCAAAAAGTTCGAGGTTACAGCTGAAACTTCCATGAAGGTGACAATATGTGATCAACCTGGGCTGGCCTTCAAGGGAGCCTGAGCCTAACGCCAGGCACCTGGCAACTCTTCGTCTGGTTGGCCAACCTCCTGCATAACTGCACCATGGGCTAGACGCTGAACTACCGTCCCTAACATCTGACAATCATCAACCAACCAAAAACAAGACCAGTCGGTCGGAAGAAGTGGGTAGAAACATGAAGTAGGGAGACGTTGGAAGGAGATTGAGCTTCCGCCCAACCCCGTAAAGAGGAGGGACGAAGGACAATCGCTCGACTCTTGAAGTAGGAAGGCGACTAAAATAGGTGGGAACTTGGGCATCCAACAGTACCTACCTTCAACAACCGGCGGCCACTCGAATGCGCATTGCTGGCCAAACCTCTCTGCATAATGGCAAGACCAGGCGAATCGACTCGTGCCCCATGTCTTTCTCTGAGCAACCCTGCTTCCCAAACGACTCACAACGGCATCCTCCATGGCCTGGAAGTAGTCGTCCATGGGCAACAACCCTCCATCTGGCATCCTCGCGCACAGCTTTCCTCGCGCGGCGCAGGTCGTCAGCAAGTGCAGCCCTCCGCTGATTGGGAACTCCGCCACGGGACATGTGATGGCGCTTTTCAACAAGATGTTCAGCGCGGTTGGGGATACAGCAAGGGTAAACCAATGAGGACAATCATGAGATGCTCTAACAAACAAAAACAATGGTATAGAGTCGCTTGCTCCTTTTAGTGCCCCCTGCAGGCAGCAACTCCGCATAGATGTTACCACGAAAACGGCTGTGCAGCCCGGAATCTCTCACCTAGATGCTAGTCTGGCCACTAGCCGATTGCCGCTCCTGGGGGAACTGAACCGTCCTGTGTCTCGAGTGAATTGCCTTCGGCAGCAACTTCTCCCACGGGCGTCCCACTGGAATCGCACCGCTGCGCAAGCCACCCTTGATGCCCTATGCTTCAGGTCAGCCCCACAGCATCATATTGGAGGGGGGGGGGTTGTACCGACAGTGACGTGTCCAGAGGGGGAGAGACGCAGCTCGCCGGCCCGACGATACGTTTGTGCAAAGCCACCTCTCAACCGCATCGAACCCAGCATGCATCCGTTCTTCGGCGAGTCCCATCGTCTGCGGCCTTTCCGACAGTACATGATCCCGAAATCAACAGGGCCGGACAGAAACCTATCGCAACTATCCCTGGGGCGCCACCACCCATCCCCAGCCGGGTGTCCAAAGGTGGTTCTGGTTGTAGAGCGGTCGTTCTGGTTGTATTGGGGCCCTTCTTGGTAGTAGAAATCCAATGATTTAGTGCCTTATTGGCTGTAAACCAAAACACCATCCATCTGGCTGTTCAAGGACCCTCATAAACTCGGAACGCCTCACTTTGAGGCTCTTCTCTAGGACGTAAACAAAGCAGCTGGTTAGAAGGAGGTCGTTCTGGCCGTCAAATGCCTCAGTACCCCCCCCTTCCAATGTGCCCCCCCTGGAAACCCAGGGCCAACTTGCCCAGAGTGTGGCGGGCTGGACCTCTCGAGCTGGATCGACCTGCGACCGGGAGCGTCCAAGCGAGGGGGCGTCTAAGAGAGGGGGCCAGCGGCCAGCAGATCGTGGCCCGAGGTATGTGCGCAGACGAGGGGGCGGGGCCAGCAGAAGAGAGGGCCATGGATTGAGCAGGGACCGACCGTCCCGACATTCCTATAGGCCTACCACCCCCCAAATGCTGCAATAACAAAACAGTGTTCTTAGAACATAAAGCCGATGCGTTCAAACAAGACAGTCCCAGCCAGAAGTGTTCTGAGAACATTTCGTGGAAAGCACAATTGGCTCTTAGAACATTGGTAGGCCTATAGGCACGCATGGAACCTGGAACCTGGGGAGATCGCATGGCCCCGGCTCCCCCCGAGTCTTCGCCTCCCTCCCGGACGCCCCCGACGTGAGGGACCGAGGCCCGCAACGGGGCGACCCACCCCGTCGTGCTCTGTAGACGTCGGCTGAACCTGTGGAAACATCTCCATCTGGAGGGAGGAGCGGCAATCCGCAAGAGCAAAAGTGGCATGATGATGAGTGGCACAGGGAGTGCATGTGACAAATTGTCAAACCCAGAGCCCGCAGCAAGAGGCGCATCTAATGCGCAGGAGGCCGCCGCACAGGGCCAGCAGGAACCACAACCTCAATATTGCGTGCCAACTCCTCATGGTTCTCGCTTCCCCCCTGGCCATGCAATCTCTGCCACATCTGAGGCCATCCGCAGCTCTCCGAGGCCGTTCTATGGCTGGTGGAGGCTCTCCGATGCCGTTCCGAGGCTATCCGGGGCGCGGAGTCGCGAATTAGCCCTCGTGCAAGAGAGAAGGAAAAGATGAGGAGGCGGCCGCGTGGCGACGGAGCGATACGCCAAGCCAAAGTTCCCGACCGCAACTCTGCCCCAGACTCCTCTTGAGCCAACCCCCCGAACGTTGCCCGGCGTACTGGGACGAAGCCAGGACGAAGATATATTCGGGCGAGGATGAACCAGGAATCTCTGAAATCCAGTGGATCTGAAAAATGCCTCGGGCGCCGCGGCCTTCTCAGAGAGTTCTGGGACGCTCTGATAACGTTCTGGCACGCTCTGGAACAGATGTATCCTCGTCGTAGCCCCGCCCGACGTACCCCCTCTGAGCCTACCCTCCCCCGAACGTTCCGCCTGATCTGTCGATGTCGGCGTCGACGTTCTCGTCGTCAACATCGCCTTCGTCGTCGTGATCTGTGTTTGTCTTCCTCGCCCCGAGGGGTCCGCCGGAAGACAACGTCGCGTGCAGCGGCTGACCGCCGACCGTGTACTCGCCGGCGCCGACCTGCGGGGGGCAACTGCGCCACGGCCCCTGGCGGGGGGCCAGGAGGGCTCGGGCTGGGCGTTAACGGAGGATCTCAGATCCGCTCGAGTCTCCGCGGGCCCTTGCCAGGCTTCGGGGCACTCGCAAAACGACTCGGGACAAAAAACTGGTCCCAGTGAAGGGGACGAGTCCTCTAGGGTCGACGTTATGAGAACAAAAAAAAAAAGCATGACGTCGGGGGTCGGGATTCAGGGTTCGAGGATCCTAGGGTCCGAGGATCGTTCCACATCGCCGATGCATCGCCAACACATCGCCGATGCACCAGCGATGCACAAGCGAGATCGGCGATGCATCAGCGACGTCGGCGTGGAGGACACCGGGCTGGACATCGATCTGCATCGGTTTTGCATGGGCAATGCAGCGCGGTCTCTCGACCCCATCTACTCCGACCCCACCTAGGAGGCCTAGAAGATCGCGAATCAAAGTTCGTATCCTGTGGGCTTTTGCGCAAGGTTTGTCGGCTTTCTTCGGCTGACGCCGCGAGATTTTAGAACTATCCTCGGCCTCTGGGGGGCCCCACTGGGCCTGGGGACCATCATGGAAGCGGCTCGGGAGGAGAAGCCGGTCCGGGAGGGGGTCGGTGGTGTAGACTTCCGGGGCTCCGCGCTGCAACTGTCACGACCTCGCGGGTCCTGAGAGCTAGCACAGAGTCGCGCTGAGCTGGCCAGGAATCAGAGGTGTGGAGGTCCTTGATCGCAAATCGAGGCGCTCGCAGTACCCGCAATTCCAGAGCTCATCCTCGCTCTCATCCTCCCTCCTCTCAGGTCTCCCTCGTCTTCCGCATCATTCACCCCTCCTGCCCTCCTCCTCGATTCTCCATTCCCTTTTTCTCTTTCAAGCGCATGCCCGTGCTGCGATGGCTTCGCTGCGCGAGCGGTTCCCCCCCAAAAGACCGAATACTGCAGGATGGCGAGTAAGTAACAAGAAGGGAGACGAAACGCCTGGACAGATGTCAGATGGGACGACCAAAGGATCTCCACGATGACGCCCGCCAGCACGCCTGGACCCCAATCTCTGCGCATCACCGCCTGCGGCAATGCTGCGCCACGCCCCCCTTCCTCCAGGCATCTCTTGACCGCCACCCAACATGGCCGATTCCAGAAGCCCTGAAATCAAAAATGTTGAAGTCTCCCTTCCATTGGGCGCGAATTACCAAATGGGGGCGATCAATGGGGGGGGAAGAAATGTGCAATTCTGGGCCCTGAAAAGCCCCCCTCTGGGCCTCTTGGGCTCCTTTGCGGCAGACCTCGCTCCCCCCCATGCCGCCCCCGCCCATTACGCGTCCTCCGACGCCTTCCCACATGGCCGATCCCAAAAGCCCTGAACCCAACAATCCTGAAGTCTCCCTGCGGCGGAGGGGGAGAGGGAGGGGGAGGAGGAAGAGGACGAGGACAGGGAGGAGGAGGGGGAGGAAGAGGATAAGGAGGAGGAGGATGCGGAGGAGGAGGCGGAGGAGGAGGAGAATCCTCCTCCTCCTCCTCCGCCTCCTCCTCCGCCTCCGCCTCCCTGTCCTCCTCCCTGTCCTTCTCCCCTGCTGCAATCTCCCTTCCACTTCCGCCGTCGTCCGCCGGCGGACTCGACCTCTGCCGGCCCCCGCCGAGGCAGGGGCGCGCCGAATGCGAGGACCTCCCTGGAGCGCGCGCTCCAGCGGCCGCGTGGGGCGAGCAGCCCCGTGCCCAGAAAAGGAGGAGGAGGAGGAGGAGGAGGAGGAGGAGGAGGAGGAGGAGGGGGAGGAGGAGGGAGCTTGCTTACAAGCGAGGGGCAACGCTAGGGGACGGGAAGGGGGCACAAAGTGGAGCCCCTTCGTCTTCGACCCCGCGTTCGCCCCCCCCCCCCACCCTCCCCCCAATCTCAAAGTTGGGTTCGGCCGCCCGGAGGCCCTGGGGGTTTCACTTGTTTTTTCCTCTCACGCCTGTGCTGCCTCATGCCGAAGGCCAACTTCTTTGGAATTTGGGGAAAAAGAGGGGGGGGCTGTTGTCAAGGGTCCCACCTTTTTGCCCGTCTACGGGAGCACTGACTCGAGGGGGGGGGCATCGACCTGGAATCGGCGATACATGGCCGATCGATCGGCGCCAGGCTCCCGACAGCAAAGCCGCACGCTCGTTGGCAGAGTGGGCCGTCGGGCCCCTATTGGCGATCAGTTGGCGATTGGAGGCCGACGCGTCCCCCCACGAGGGGGCCACGGGGAGCAGCCCACGACGCGGGGTGCCTCCTCCTCCTCCTCCTCCTCCTCCTCCTCCTCCTCCTCGGCGATCAGTTGGCGAGTGGAGCCCATCCCTCTCGCGTTGCCCCTGGTTTTTCGGGTCATAACTCTTCTCTCCGGCGGCCTCTCGGGACGATCCGGGCACCTCCAGAGAAAGCTCTCGGCGAGGCGCAGCCGCTGGAAGCCTGGAAAGCGGCCGAGAATGGACGAACACCTCGAACCTCGATCATTCATTCGCGGTCGGGGGCCGATGCGTCTCAGGACCCATAGCCCATCCCCCCACATCTTGCTGTCGAAGCGGCGAGAACCCTAGCCGCGTTCAAAGGCAGACGTGGGATGCACGTGGCCAATTACCAAATTGGGCACGGCGGGCGGCGGGGAGGAGGAGCAGGAGGAGGAGGAGGAGGAGGAGGAGGAGGAGGAGGAGGAGGAGGAGGAGGAGGAGGAGCGCGCGGGGGGAAGAGAGGAGCACGCTCAGAACATGCAGTCCTTGTGCGCGAGTGCCGGAGGGCGTACACGGCGCCAGGTGGAAGTCGAAGGAGGAGCGGAGTCCGAAGTGGGCAAACCACACGCGGCTCCTGACACGCGAGGAGTAGACGCGCGGGCGGCGCGCGGGGCTACCCGCTCCAGCGGCGGCACGGCGGCGCCGCTCTGCTCGACCCTCCGTACCCAAGCGTCCACCTGGCCGGGCGCGGCGCCTCTTCCGGGAGAGGCCAGGGTCGGGGCGGACGAATCTAGAGTCAACGCGGAGAGTAAGGATGCACGACGGATAGCAAGGGCCCTGGAAGGCCATGCAAACACTTTTCGAGCAGGACGCGGCTCGCGAAAATGACCAAGGATGTGCCGAAACGGGCGGATGCAAGGGTCACCTTGGAAACTGCCTTCCGTTTTGACTGTCAAGGGGTCCAGCGAGACACAACTAGAAAGACTCACATTCCATGATTTCCTACATTTTCCCATGCGAAATGGATTTTCATATTTCCCTCCCCCCATACGTTCCAATCTGTTCACGGAAACCTACGTATATTTGTCTGTGTCTGCTTTTCTCCAACTAAACAGCAAAGGGGGTGTTCGCGAGTCAGCTGGCGAAATTGAGCTCATCTGGCAATTAAGGAATCCCCCTGGGTCATCGTCAGCACCGCAACGAACATGTATAATTCGCGTGGGCGGATCTTTCAGAAGAATCTCGTTAGCACCGCACCAAAACGCAGAACAACAAAAACACATCCCCCCAGCGACCGAAATCGACACCCACCGAAATCTACATCTACCTCTTCCTCCTCCTCCTCCTCCTCCTCGTCCTCCTCCCTGTCCTCCTCCTCCTACTCCTCCTCCTCCCTGTCCTCCTCCTCCTCCTCCTCCTTGTCATGCTTCTCCCTGTCCTCCTCCTCTCTGCCCTCCTCCTCTCTGCCCTCCTCATCCTCCCTGTCCTCCTCCTCCTTCTCTTTCTCCTCCTCCTCCTCCTCAACTTCCTTCTCCTCCTTCTCCTCCTCAGGGTGCCAGGATAACGCTTCCTCGTTTCACCAGAAAGGGTGGGTCCTTCATGGCTTTCGAGGGTGTAGCTGGTCTCCCTGGCGCGTTCTGGCGCCGGGAGGCGCCAGAGTGTCGAGCCATGCGCCAGGCGGCGGGGCCGAAACCACCTGCATGCAGCGGCTTCTAACCCACTCTTTCCCTGCAGTAGGGGCCCGACCACAAGAAACCTTCCTGAAGAAACCCAACCCTGCGACCCCAGGACGACCAGTGATTTTAGGAGTGGGAGCGGCACGCTTTCCGTAGCAGAACCATCGAGACCCAAGAAACCCAGGGCACCCTGGAGGCGAGCAGGGTGTTTCTTGGCCTGGGCCTCCACTGTATCCCCCCCCTCGTCCGAACCCGACAGGGAAGATCCTAAGATTCAGGCGCTCTTCAGGGATCTGCTGATCCGGATCAATCCAAGACCCCGCGTCAGTCAGGCTCTGCAGGACCCTTCGGGATGCTCCTGCAGGATCCTGCTGAATCCTGCGCCCAAGCCCGGGTCAGTGCAACCCTGGCCCTGCAGGATCCTGCAGGGCCTGGCGCTCTGGCTGACCCCCGTTTGCACTGGCCCCCGTCTCTTGGCCTCGGAGCTCTCGCCCGGTTGCGGGCCCCAGGGCCCTCGCGGACCGACCCAGCTCGAGAACTACCGCAGAACAAAGAACTCTCGGGCTGCAACCCTTCAGGAACATGAAACCCTCCGCCAGCCGAAACACACAGAACATCCAAGGGTACCCTCCCCAGGATGCACAAGAGAACGCTCAACAAACACGAAGAACGCTAGGGTACCCTTCCCGAAGCAACTTCGACCTTATGACTCGGCTCGACTGGATCGCAGAAAATTGGAGTCTCGGGCTGCGGTCGTGATTTCTAACAGTGCTGCACCTTCTTGGCGACGTCGGCTCTGAGTTAAAAGCAGGGACCGACCGTCCCGACATTCCAATAGGCCTACCACGAAATGTTTGTAAAATCCAAAAACGTCTGAGAACAATAAAGATGCTCACACAACATAAAACCGATGCACTAAGACAAGACAGTCTCGGCCATAACTGTTTTAAGAACTTCTCATGCAGACCACAATAGATTGTTGGAACATTCTTTCGTGGGCCTAGACAGAGGCCTCCCAGATGGAGCTGGAATAGATGGGGTCAGAGGATCTTGCCGCATCGGCGATGCACCGGCGATGCATCGGCCATGCACTGGTGACGTCGGCGATGCATCGGCGACGTCGGCGTGGAGAAAATGGGGCCCCACATCGAGCCGCATCGCCGACGCATCGCCGACGCATCGCCGATGCATCGCCGATGCATCGGCGATGCGGCGCGATCCTCCGACCCCGTCTACTCCGACCCCATCCAGGCCTAGACTATAGGCAAGCCAGGACGCTTAGCCACTGCTTGGCTGAGCGGACGCGTGCGCCCAGGCTACGAACCCGGGCGCGCCCCTCCCCGCTCGAGCGAGGCCCGCCCTGGGCCTCTCAGGCCACGGACGCTCGCGCACTTGGCGTGCGCCCTCGAATCCGAGCTCCTGTGCGCGTGCGTACGCTGCTCTCGGGATGGCGGTAAGAACTCGTCTCTGCATCATTCGCGAAAGCGCCTCTACTTCTCGTTCCTCCTCATCCTGCTCTTGTTTCAATGCCGCGTTATCTGCACTCAGGGAGACGTAAGACTCGGGTACGGGGGACTCGGGTTGGCCTGATAAAAATGACGAGAACTGATCTGGAATTTGACGCGAGCTCCCGCTGCAAACATCCCACGAAAACGGGACCGTCAAAATCCAGGACGCGCGCGGAGCCTAATTTCGGCACGTCCCTTGCGCACGTCCTGGCTCAATGGGGAGCTCCACCGCGAAGGCTCCAGTGGCAGGGAAGGCATGGCGGCGGTGCCTCATTCCAGCGCACCCATCACGGGTATCGTGGCCCCATAGGGAGCTCCAGCTAAGGTCCAAATGCCACAGTCCGCATGTCGGCGGTGCCTAATTAATTTCAGCGCACCCCTCACACGCGCATGGTGGCCCCATAGGGAGCTCCAGCTGAAGCCCAAATCTCAGAAGTCCGCATGGCGACGGCGCTTCCGTTGGAGCACACCTCTCACACGCTCAGTGACACCGTAATCAGGGAGCTCCAGCTGAGGCCCACCTGCCAGGGTTCGCATGGCGTCGGTGCTTGCACACCTCTCAGCACGCTTCGTGGCCCCACAGGGAGTTCCTGCTGCGGCCCCGTTGCCGGGGTCCGCACGGCGCGGCAACGGCGCCCATGCCGGCGCACCCATGAGGCGGCACCTCCCCTCTCCGGCACACCCTTCGCACGGCGTTTGGCGCCACAAGGGCGTCCACTTCCGACGTCCCACCTGTCTTGAGGAACGCACGCCTGCAATTGGCTCGGGCGGGTGGTAATGGGAGGTGGCCTAGATGGGGGGTGAAGAGAAGGCCCACAAAAGGGGCACTCTAGGGCCCCTTCTGGCGCCAGCAGGAGCCCAAAAAGGGCCCTCAAGTGGCCCTTTTTGGTAACACTTTTCTTCATCCCCCATTCAGGTCACCCCCCGGGACCACCTGCACGATTGGTTCCGTCGCCAGCATAACTGTTTTTTTTTTTTGTGTGTGTGTGTGTGTGTGTGTGTGTGTGTGTGTGTGTGTGTGTTTCGCTTCGCCTGCGGGCCGACCACATCGAATGACGTCAGCTGACCACCTCGCCGACCCTGGCCAGGGCCCATCCTGGGCGTCAGATCGGTGTCTGTAGGTAAGCCTATCTGGCCTGGCCTGGTGGGGGCGTGCATCCTGGGCCCAGGATCGGACTGGCCAGGATCGGTGAGGTGGGCAGCTCTTTGAGATCCGACGCCACGAAACATAAAACATCGCGAAAGTCGCCCTCCGAACTCTACACCCCTGCTTCCTGCTGCAAATCTCGAGCCAGACCGACCTGTGAACGCCCGACGTGAGAACGTTTTGCAACGCCCAGATCTCAAGGCTGACGTCGTCTCTCAAAAACGGCCCCACCCCCCGCGACCGCAAACCGAGGTAGAAAGCAGCGGGACATCGGAGGCCATTGCATGGGGGCAGGAGCGGAATGCATCGGACCGATAAATCGGACTGGATCGGAACGTGCATCGAATCCATCGGGAGCTCCACAGAAGCCCCAGTGGCAAGGTCCACATGGCGTAGATGCTTGGATTTCGACACACCGCTCACGCGCCTCGTGGCGCCATAGGGGACTCCAGCTGAAGCCCAAATCCCCGAAGTCCGCATGGCGGCGGTGCTTCATTTGGCATATGTTTCACACGCTCAGTTACCTCATTTCGGCACACCCTTCAGGCGCTTCGTGGCACCAAAGGGAGCTCCACACAAGGCCCCAATGCCAGGGTCCGCATGGCGTCGGTGCTTCATGTCGGCACACCCCTCACACGTTTCGTGGCCCCATCGGGGGCTTCAGCGAAGACCCACATGCCAGGGTCCGCATGGCGTCGGCACCCCACTTCGGAACACCCCTCACACACTCCGTGGCCACATGAGGAGCTCCAGCTAAGGCCCAAATGCCAGCCAAAGTCCGCATGGCGGCGGGGCCCCAGTTCGGCATACCCCTCACACGCTCTGTGGCTCCATAGGGAGCTCCACCGAAAGTACCAGTGGCAGGGTCCGCATGGCGGCGGTGCTCATGTCCGCACACCCCTGACATGAATCGTGGCCCGATCGGGAGCTCCAGCGACGGCCCAAATGCCAGGGACCTCATGGCGTCGGTGCTGGATTTCGGCACACCCCTCACACGTCTGGTGGCCCTATAGGAAGCTGCAGCTAAGACCTTTCGTGGTGACAAAGGTCATAGGGAGCTCCACCAGCGGCGCCAATGCCAGCGCCCGCATGGCGGCAGCTCCCCAGTTCGGCACACTCCTCACTCGCTTCGTGGCCCCATAAGAGCATCCCCTTCCTTCGTCTCAACGGCCTTATGGCACTCACGCCTGATAATTTCTGAAAGACGACCCCTTGAGGTCTCGACCCATTCCCTGGGACCTGCGCTCATCCTGAGTGCCTTTTTGATGGTTCCGGCCGAAGATATAAAAGGCTCCCCTCGTGATTTTTCATGATTCGAAGGGGTCTGCGTGGGACCTGCTGTGCTGGCCCCCCCAGCAGGCAGGCGAGAGGGGGACAGAGCTGGCTCCCCCAGCAGGCAGGTGCAGACAGGCACAGGCAGGCGAGAGGGGGACAGAGGGCGGGAGGAGAAGGAGAAGGAGAAGGGTGTCGGCACCCCACTGCTCCATTCAAAACGAGAATCCAACCAAGGGAGGAATGGGAAAGAGCTCCCGTTGTGATTTGTTCATGGTTCGAGGGGGTCTGGGCACCTTGGGGCCCGAACCCTCCTGAGCGTTGACGCTGGTAGCGTGGAGCGAGCGGGCCTTGAGTTGACGCTGAGCGGGCCTCGAGTCGAACTCGAGTCCGACCTGAGCCGAACAGATCACACAGGCGGCTCCCGAGGTCCCCGCATCGGCATCGAGCACCTGAGGTCTGGGGCACCTGGGGCCCCCCACCCTTCCCCGCACCCGCAGGCCGCCTCGTGGTCCACACGGTCGGGGGGCGCCGCCCGGCCGCGCGACAGCGCGTCGGGGCCGCGGAGCGTCTGCGAGACCAGCCGCACAAACTCGGTGAGGGCCTCTCCAGGGCTGGGGGCCCTCCCTCCCTCCTCATCCCTCGACAAGCGTCCTCCCTCCCTCCCTCCTCCCTCCTCCTCCTCCCTCCTCCTCCTCCTCCTCCTCCCTCCTCCTCCTCCCTCCTCATCCTCCCTCCTCCCTCTTCCTTCCTCCCTCCCTCGCAAGTCCGGGCTAACGGCGATGTTGCTTAACGGTGATGTTGGGAACCAGCTTGTAGGACATCGCGAACCACACTTTCCTACTTATCCAATCGGCGAATGGATCGAGCGAACACGACATAGCGAATTGCAAGAAAACGCGAACCACGCGTTCCCAGACTACCGGAACCTACAATGCCGTCACCTACATCGCCATTAGCCCGCCTACGATGGGGGCTGGGGGTCGGACGCTTGTCGGGAGCGGGAGCCGCACGTATACAGACTAAGGTATATGAGCCATGTCCCATGGTGCTTCGCAGAAGCGCCACAGGACAACGAGAGGTCCCTACTTTTCTGGCCATCCCTCCAGGCGACATGTGCCGAAACAATGATGATGTACACTGTGTTCGGGCCGCCATCTGCCACTGAGTGGTGGACAAACATACCAGAATGTAGTTGACATGTTTTCGGCCCCGAGGGAGCACGACGACCATGGCCAGGATGTCACAGGATCTTGTCGACGCCGATCTTCGTCATGGTTCAGGCCGACTGTCGCCGTTTCGAGTCAGGGATCCACGGGCTGACGATGACCAAGATGGACGATGACCGGTAAAGGCCTCCGAGGCTGAGGATCGTACATGTTTACAAGTCCGCCTTCTTACGGTCGGTAACTTGTGCTTAGCGTTTCGCGGCGGCGACCCTAGAGACACGCTATGTCCTGCGAGCGGATAGCGTGTCGCTCCGCTCAGCGGGGCGGGATGTTGGTAAAGGCTCGGAGCGTAGACGCTTGGAAATAGGGAAGTGGCTAGCGTGTCGCGACGAAGCGCGGCGGGTCTGACCTGGCGGCGCGATACTCAAAGCAAGCGTCCCTCACTGTACTCGTCCCTCCGCCATCCTCTTCCGATCTGAGATAATCGTCCGGCTGCCTTCGTGCGCTGATCGGCTCCTTCGCGGCCATGCCAACGCCTCCTGATGCCCCTTCAGAGTCGCTGGAACCGGCCGTAAGGCCTCTCCAACCGACCATTGATACAGGTCCACATCAGACTGATCTCCTCCTCCCCGCAGGGCACCGAGCTCGCACGGGTCTCAGATTAAATCTCCTGCCTGCTGCGCTGCTGAGCCGGCGCTGTGGAGAAGTTTTCCGAAGGCACTTAGATATGTTGGACGTGCGACGTCCTGGGACATACGTTTGACAAGCAAACGTGCTTCGGTCGGCGATCTTGGGCAACCCATACGAATAGTGATGAACACGCGCCTACTAGCCTCGCATCCGATCTGGCCATGGACAAGGGATGACTCGGGCTATCTTTTCGGCAAATACGCCCAGCGCCAACCCACTCAGGAATATCCTGAATGACAGGCACGTTGAAGGAGAACCATAAGGCACGGTTGCCACATCGCAAGCGCTGTTGGAACCCAAATAAGGAGGCTGTTACATGTTACGGCATGGGGAATGGTTCGTTCTGCACTTCACTGCGTTGCTTTGAACCGAAATGCATTGCATTGAAGTGGAAAGACAACGCGACACAGTTGCAGCGTAGAGTTGGCAACGCAACACCAGGCGCTGAAAAGCAGTTCAACCGTGGACAGTTGCAAAATAATGCAAACCTGCCGAAGACCCTGGGAAACCCTGGCTTGCGACCCTGATTCCCCCAAGCAAGGAACCTGGTCGACGAAACCAGGATGCAGCGGGACAGTGCCACCGTGCCTGTTGTTGACTAGGTGTGCTCTGGAGCCCCGCCGAATGCAACGCATGAGGGGGCAAAACATGTCAAACCACTTCAAGGTCGTGAGGGTCCATTACTGCTCCCTCTGCCGAAGCGCAACAATAACCGCCTGTCCGTGGGCCTCGAGATGCGAGGACCACATTTCAGCAACACGTGATATGACAAGCGCTCACGACCGAGGACTGGTGTATCGCGGGTCAGGGGCGTGCCCGAGAAAGCGGGCCTGTCGTCCACTGCTGATGGCCACGAAAGCAGTCGTCGCGAGTCCGAGGCGCATCCAGGACACACGCACAACAACGTCGTCAACAGCGGCACCTCTCCGCGACCACTGCACGCTCCCAGGAGTGTGGCTGCTAGTGAACCTGCGGACCGTCGTCGCGCTCTGCGAGCACTGACGTCCAATGACCAGATAACACACTTGCGGACGGCAGCTCAGAAGGACTCACAACCATCGCGCTACCATTAAGTCCGGCATGTCCCCCGACAGGCGGATTTTGAACGAAAAACCAAAAATACAAAAAACTTGAAACATCATCCCCAGATTATTTTCACTATGTTTGAATATGCCTCCTGTAGAGGGACAGGCCCGACTTAACGCTACCACGAGGAACGCCGAATGAAGAGCTACTGGGGCTTACTTTGGCACGGCGAGCCTCGGCCACGAATCCGCTCCCCGACCTGGACTAAGGAACGGTCCCCAAAACCAGAATCCCTCCTGAACCCAAACGTGGTCCATAGTTCAGCGTCTTGACGGTATGGCTCCACTTCGTCGTGAGAAGCCTCGCCAAGTCCGACGCACTGATTGAGGCTTCTCCTGAACTGTCCCTGCAAGCTTGGCCTTCTTCCCGCTGCCTCCACCTCCAGACATCAGACTTGAGGGGATCTGGCTGCCACCAGTGCCGAGGGACAGGCTGGGCTCGGCACGCCCGAGACTGGTACTCGGCGCTGAGGGCTACCCAAATGCGGATGCGTGCGCGACGACTCCCGGTGGGCCGGTCAGAAAGAGGGCTGGCACCCTGGATATCATGCCAATATGGTGACCATGACCCCGTCCTCGACGCCATCATGGTCAGGTCAGTCACGATCGACAGCGGCGGCGTCGTGCAGATCCGATCCAGGGGCGCGACGCGGCGTGTCTCGTCTAGCTGAAACTTTCGGTATGCGCCAATGCTCCGAAGCAGCTCGGCCCGCTCGCGCCAACCTTGGGTACGCCTTCGGGTCGGGCCCTCGAGTTGGCTGCTATTCCCGCCGCCCCCCTTCCCTTTGGCGGACAGAAAGGGTAAGAACCCATATAAAGTCGTCAGTGAAACGCTGGAAAAGGAGGATGGAACTGGTTAGCGGCGAGCGCGGGCAGAAAGTGAGAAGTGGCGGGCCCTCTCAAAAGGCGCGGAAATCCGCGGGCCTTCTGAAACGTTTTCTACGCCTTTCCCGGAGACGCAGAACACTTCTCAGAAGGCCGGAGGACTTCTGAGAATTCCCGCCGCTTTCTAAGAAGGCTTTCTCCTGCTCACCTCCCCCCTCGCTTGCCGCCGGACTGGGGGAAAGAAAGGCGGCAGGAGGAAAGGAGGGAGGGAGAGGAGGAGGAGGCAGACTCACTGAAGGTTGCACGCCGCTTTCTCTTACGCCTTGCCGCTGACAGGACGCGATATACCGGATCTTGTGTACAGCGCGCCTGCTGTGTGGAACCAGCAGGAGGGACGGAGGGATAGGGTGGAGAGGAAAAGGGTGGAGGGAGGAGAAGGGGGATCAGAGGAACTTGAGGGAGATTGGGGTAGGGAACGTCCGGGGCATGACGAGGGAGGGGAGGAGGGATCGATCGAGCGAGCGAGCGGGCAGGGCCGCGCCCATCAGGGCGGGACGGCCAGGGCTAGAGAGGAGGGAGGGAGCGAGGGAGGAGGGATGCGGACGCGGACGCGGCGGAGGGGAGGGAGGGAGGGAGAGAAGACAAGCTAGGTGCGCTCACATCACGTCTGACGTCCTACCCCTCCCTCCCATCCCTTACCATGGCGTAGATATCCTCTCTATCCGCACAGTCGGATGACGAGCTGGGCAATGGTCGCGAGAGGGTACGCGATGCATGGTAGAGCACAGCATGGTATGGCGTAGAAGAGCACGGCAGAGCGTAGCATGCCGTAGCATGGCGAAGCACTGCGCAGTGAATCATTGCATCACAAAGCATTGCAAAGCAAAGCATGGCATCGCACAGCGACGCATAACACAACACCGCACGTGGTTCCATGTGTAGCTCCTTGGGCTCCCCGAAACGCTCCACACAAGGCGGGGCTCATGGAGAGCACCCACTGGCTCTGCTTTCAAAATCGCCTTATCAAAGCAGAAACGGGGCTCCCACTTGATACTGCCTGAAAGCGACGACGCCCCAAAGGGGGGGGCCTTCTGCGGCCCAAACATCAACGAATCGACACCGAATGTGGAATCATTTCCGATGGTTTTTTCGGGGGAACATTTTTTTAAGATGTTGAGGCCTATTTGTAAGGACCGAAAACGCCCGCGCTGCAGAGGGAGCACGATTTGGAACAACTAGAGGCGCAGACATGGGGCCAGCGCTCCAGCGGGAACAAAATTAGAAAACAACCGAAGCGAAAACCCAACTACCAGGAATCCTGTGCGTCAGAAACAATACGCGGAGGGGGGCCTGACATCTTCCGGACGTCATCAGGGGAGAGAGGAGAATAGCATTCATGTTGTGTAATTGTGGAGAGGGAAGAACGGGAGGGAGGGCGAGAGGGAAGGGAGGAGCAGGGGTGTGGAGGAGGGTCTTGAGGCAGGGGGGGGGGAGGGCGCAGGGTTGAGGGGAGGGGAAGGGGGGGGGTTGGGACAGGGGCGGGGAATACGGCAGAGATTCCGGCAGATCAACGACAAGCATCGTGGAGGACACATCAAGCTCGTGCACCCCGCCTCTGGGTGGGGAGAGGGGCGGCCCACGGCGGCACCTTCCAGGACTTCTCACGAAACAAATTGTGTGCACGGTGGTGCAGGCGGGCCAGGTGGCTAGATGCGCCTTCCTGGTAGCCTCTGTGGACCTCCGCAGCCTTGTCGCAAACGCGATTTGGATCGGATTTCGGATTAGATTCTCGCGCAGATTTCGTCCAGATGTCGACACAATCCACACGAGAGCATCAAAACCGCCAGGAGTTTGGGGACCCTCTGAGGCTCCCATGAGGGACCACACACATGAGAAATCAAACGATCGCGTTGGGAGAAGGGGGATGAAAAGATACAGGATCCGACTGCGTAGTAAGCACCTTGAACATACGCGGGAAGATGGATGACGTGAGCATTTCTCTCAGCCCCATCACCCCAACCCTGTACTTATCTTTCTGAACAAAATTAAAGCTTGCAGGAGGGTCGATAACACAAGGGTCGGCAGCAAACTCGATGCAATTGCTTAGGTCTTAAATGGTTGCAATGCAATCGTTTGTGGCTTAAACGGTTGCATTGGAATCGCTTGTCGCTTCAACTGTTGCAGTACAATCACTTGTCGCTTAAAAAGGTTGCAACGCAATGGCTTGCGCAATGCGTATGCCCGGGGCTAGTTTTGGCACGCAGGCACTATCTCGCAACAACTTGCGATCTTCTGGGATATCACTTTTGCGAAACACTCGACACCAGGCGCAAACGACTGCAATGCAATGGTTTGGCCGGTGGCCAGGCCAAACGAGTGCATTGCAAATCATTTGCGGCGCGACTTCGACGCGCAAGGAACTGCATTGCCACCGCAAGCTTTTCCAAACACATGACTGCCGCACCCACATCCATGCAGAAACAATCGAGCTCGCGGCCGATGTTCACAAAATCCCGAGTGCACCTCACGTTCGGATGCCCCGACCCTGCTGCAGCAACAAAAAAACCTGCGCCCTTTAGATCAAAGGAGGGGGCCGTGGGCGGGCGCCGCCGCCTGCAGCGTCGCCTGCCCCTGGGCAGCGTCCCGCTCCACCGCGTCGTAGGCCTGCGCCTCATGACGGGGGCACGCGGGCGGTTGTTCGAAGGAGCCCCCAGCCCGTGACGCACGGGGGCGGGCCCCGACCCAGAGACGGTGGTGCCATCATCCGCTTCCCTCTGTGAGAGCCTGGCTGCTCTGATTCTGCAACCGATGGTGGAGCTCAGGGCGACGAAAGCTATGCATATCAACTGCTCCCTGGCCAAGCCCGTCCTGAACCCAGCAGCGGTGCGCACGCACAGCTCCTGGCCAAGCCAGGAGGGCGCGGCGTATAGAGCAGTGTTATGGCGTGGCGAGGGGGCCACGGCAAGGCAAGTGCCACACGTCCTCTGCCCCGCCGACGCGGGGGCGAGTCGGGAGTTCTATATATGCAGGGACTGTGATAGGCCTGGTGCGGTGACCTCGAAGGCGCAGAAGACCCCACCGCGCGGTCCGTCACCGCACGGTCTTGGGACAATGGAAGTTCGAGTCGCCCGGGATGTCCTGGGAGAGCGGCACACATCAGCAGAAGCCCCAAAACCGTGCGGCCAACCAGAATGACTCACCACGCGGTGTGGTCACCGCGCCGTTGTGGGGATGCTCCGGCTCCTTAGAGCGACGTCAACACGCATATTTCCAACGCTCCAAATTTGTTGTTTCTCTGATGCAAATGTCCACATCCGAAGGCACTTGTCGGGCCCCCGGGGTCATCGAAACTGGGTCCCGTCTGCGGACGGGTCAGGACCTTCTGGGCCGCGGACCGCGAACACGAATCGTCGGATGCAGGAGCACATGCGCAGACTATCTTGCCAGCCCACCCCAAGCCCAAAATTACTGCATGCGCCACCCCAGAGATCCGATGTATTGATCTTTACACATACGGGGTCCTCCGATGTCTCGACCCTTTCCGCGGGGCCCGTTTTCATCCCGAATCGTCTTTGGACGCCCCAAAGGCCGAAAGCGACGACGAGAACCGCCGCCCCGATGCGTCGGCTCTCTGGGCTCTTTGCCTGGCCAGGGACACGCATGCACCGATCTTTGGACGCCTGAAGTGGGTACGGCAGAAATGGGCGCAATGCCCAACAACACATGTCCAACAGCCGACACCGGCCGCTGTTGGGAGCGACCTTTTGTCTCCAATGGGCGATTCCGGCAACCCTGAACCCAAAAACGATTCCATCATGTGGGGGGCCTGGCAAGGCGGGGCGCAGCGCGAAGCCAAGGTCTGCAGCGAGCTGCTTTGCCTCAGCCCTGGAGCTCGCCGCTCTCTTGTCTCATTCCACGGGCGCCTTCCACAAGGGCGCCGGGGGCCCGCGCCCAAGAAACTCGCGCGAAGGCGGCCGCAATATCAACATGTTCCACATGCGCTCGGCGCGGGAGAACATGACGTAGAGGTGCACCCACTGCTGCTCGTCCGACGTTCCCGTGCGGCCAGCGTCCTCATCACTGGCGCAGTCGACGGCGACGCCCTTGTGCAGCGTTAGATCCTGGCACAACGTTGAGGTAGGACGCGTGCGTCAAGGTGAACCCCGCGCGGCGCACGGCGTGCGGCCCCGAACTCTGCCACGTGAGTTCCTGCTCGGTGAGTCTGAACAGGAGCAAATTCGGCTCCCGCCCTCCGGCCTGGCCGTCGTCGTCAATGGCGTCGACGCCCTATAAAAGCAGCTGGGCGACCACCTGGTAGATCGGAGCCTACTTGACACCGTGCGCCTACATCCACATTCCCTGTGGTAGGCAGCGGGGGCGAACGAAAAGGTCTGGCACGCACTCGATGTACCGCAGCCGTTTTGCGCACCCCATACGAAGGTGGGTTCTCGCTCGAAACGTCCTCACCATTTACTCAGAGACGAGGCTCCCGTTCGAGACTTCCTCCAGATCCACGCCTCAGGAACCCAGACAAATAACGATTGTTTCAAAACTTTGATGGCCCACTCAGGTTACTAACGTGATCTGGCGGCCCCATGAGGAGGGGGCTCCCGCCTGAGACTGCCTCAGAATTCACTCGGAGCAGAGGCTCCAGCTCGAGACTTCCTCCAGATCCACGCCCCAGGAGCCAAAAATGATGACTGTTTCAAGATGTTGATGATCCGCTGTCATTGCTCACATGACCAGGCGGTCCCGTACGGAGGGGGCTCCCGCCTGAGACTGTCTCACAATTCACTCACAGCCGAGGCTCCCGCTTGAGACTTCCCCAGGAGGAATGTGTGAGTGTGTGAGTGTGAGTGTGGAAATGAATGAGTGCGTGAGTACGCGTGCGATGTTGATGGTGGTGGTGGTGGTGTGAGTGCGAATGAGAAAGAGTGTGCGCGTGTGAGGGCAATGATGATGACAGTGGCGTGATGATGAAGGACCGACGATGGCGAATGTGGGTGTGATGATGACGATGACGATGATGACGATTGTATTGATGGCGATGTTGAATGATGATGATGGGGATGACGATGATCATGATGATTATGATGAGGATGGTGGTGGTGATGATGACTTTGATGACGATGATGACGGCTGGTGGTGATGAGAACCAGAGGGTGCGATGTGAGGAGTAATGGCTGCGCGAGGTGTCCACAGAAAACGAAACCCCACCTACGACGTGGGAGGCAAACACATCGCAGGATGAACAACTTGTCGCAGGGAAGGAAGGGGCTGATCCAGAGAGCCGGCGAATCAAGAACGCGAGTCGGCTGAGGTCTGGGGAATATCCCCCACTCTTGAGCAGCGACCGACCGTCCCAGCATTCCGATAGGCCTACCACGAAATGTTCTTAGAACCCAAAAATGTTCGGAAAACAAAAACAATGATCTGAAAACATATACACCCGTTGTGTTAAAACAAGGCAGTCTCAGCCAGAAATGTTCGAATAACATTTCGTACAGACCACGACAGGTTCTTAGAACATTCTTGAGTAGGCCTATCGGCGAACTTGGACGCTTTGCCACTGCTAGACACTCAGGAGAACGGAACATGTCGACCACTTCTCCGTGGCTATTGGCCTCCCCGTCCGGCCAGCAGTCCTGGCGTCCACCCCCCACGCGGGGCGCCAGAGGTGGCCCCGCGGAGGCCCGAGAGCGGACATCTCGCCTCCCGCCAACACTCGAGCATCCCATCCCTCCGGAGGGAGTGGGGAAGGGAGGGAGGGGAGGGGAGGGGAGGGAGGGGGGGAGGGGGGGAGTGAGGGAGGAGGCCTCCTTCTCCTCCTCCTCCTCCACCTCCTCGTCCTCCTCCTCCTCCTCCCACTCCTCCTCCTCCTCCTCCTCCTCCTCCTCCCCCTCCTCCTCCTCCTCCTCCTCCTCCACCTCCTCCCCCTCTTCCTCTTGCTCCTCCTCCTCCACCTCCTCCTCCTCCTCTTCCTCTTCCCGATAAACAAAAACTGCATGAACTGAACTTCTCCGAAATGCGCGCGAATTTCTCATATCGGGGGTGGGACGCACTCCCCAAGGAAGGGGGCCAGAGATTCGCGTGGACCTTAGAGAAACTACATTGATGCAGCTTGTCGCTCCTCGAGAAGAGAGGGGCCCAGGTGGAAGGACGCCAAAGTGTGCCCGTGGAGGCCCCAGAGTAGACACCTCGTCTCCTCTCGACCCTCGAGCCCACCCTCCAGCGCTGCTGGACAAGCCCAGGGGGATGATGAGAAGGAAGAGGAGGAGGAGGTGGAGGAAGGGGAGGAGGGGGACGAGGAGGAGGAGGAGGAGACGGAGGAGACGGAGGAGGAGGAGACGGAGGAGGAGGAGACGGAGGAGGAGGAGGAGACGGAGGAGGAAGAGACGGAGGAGGAGGAGACGGAGGAGGAGGAGGAGACGGAGGAGGAGGAGGAGGAGGAGGAAAAAGAGGAGAAGAACGCTACCATCCGAGGATCCAGGTTGGCGCAATGTCAAGACAGGAAGAGGGGAGGAGGAGGAGGAGGAGGAGGAGGAGGAGGAGGAGGAAGAGGAGGAGGAGGAGAAGGAGGAGGGTCTTGTGCGAACTACTAACCGTCACCACATCAATATCGCCTACCTCGCCGCAGCGGGGGACAGCTGGAAGGACAAGGTCAAGGAAAGCTGGGACATCGTCTACGGCAGCTCTCTGGTAAACTCCAACAGCGAGCTGTGGACGGACATAGACCATTGGATGGACAGACCCGACAATTGCCCGCACTACCGCACGGCCACCAAGTACGGTACACCAGAAAACGCTGCCAACGATCGCGGCCCAAAGAAGATACCCACCCACAATTTGGAATGGCAGGATATCCTGTCACACACAAGGACAGGCCCACCGCAGCTCCACGCACCACCGTGGAAGAACAAAGACGAGGAGCCATACACCAGTCTACAGACTTTTACACACATTCCAAAATAAAGGCATGGAGAAGTGCAACAACTTCGAGGAGGTAGAGTGTAAAGCCATCTACAGCAACATCGAGCGTTACACCAAGAAGATCCACCTCGTCGCGATCACCGGCACCCTCGGCGCCCTGCATCCGACCTCCGAGATAGGGACATGTGCGGCGTACGCAAGAGACATCATTGAAACCCGCGATAGCAGAGCATTACACCCGCACACGGACAACTACATCCAGCCCATCGATCGCCACCACATTACACCACAAACGACAGGTGGACTACACTGCGCGGATACCGACCTGAGAGGACAACGAGTATGAGCCTACCTGTGTCACCAACGGGACACCGCTCTGCTATCGGCATGGACGGGGGCATACCGGACGCCACCACTACCAACAAGGGATATCGACCACGTCACGATCCACACGCTGAGCGCGGCAATCAGCGATCTACCCAAGTACCTAGCTATTATCGACAACGCCCTCATCGAATACCCCGCACAAGTTATACAGGAAGTTACCACCACATTGGAGAACTGCACACTAATAACCGACGGCACTACCAACGTCCACACCGAGGCCGCCAAGCGGGATATCATCGCTCACCACATGGACTTCAACCTCGACGGGGACGCCCCCACCGAGACGAGACAGCGACCTGATTACGACGCGCCCGATTACAAGCAACCCACTGAGATCATACTTGGCGGCATCC